AACATGAGGATACTGTAGAACATGATAGATGATGATCCAGTTAGTTTCTATCATGCCATGCAGAGTTCTAACTCTCATAAGTGGATTGAGGCAATGAACGAAGAGTATAAGTCTATAAGTCTATGCAAGACACAAGTTTGGGTGGGATCTTGTTCAATTACCTGAAGGAAAGAAACCCATTGGTTGCAAATGGATATTTAAAACCAAAAGGGATTCTCAAGGTAATGTGGAAAGATATAACGCACGTCTTGTAGCAAAAGGCTTTACTCAAAAGGAAGGGACTGACTATAAAGAAACCTTCTCTCCAGTTTCTTCGAAGGATTCTTTTAGGACAATCATGGACTTAGTTGCAAATCTTGATCTTGAGCTTCATCAAATAGATGTTAAGACTACGTTTCTCAATGGCAACATTGATGAAACAATATATATGGTGCAACCAGAAAATTTTGTAATTGGAGATCCAAAACATCTGGTATGCAAATTAAAGAAATCCATTTATGGACTCAAGCGAGCTTCTCGTCAATGGTACTTTAAGTTCAACTAAGTAATTGTCTCGTTTGGCTTTGAGGCAAATAAATACTGTTGAAAATTGTGTGTACCATAAGTTCAGTGGGAGGAGGTTTATCTTTTGGTCTTATATGTGGATGACATACTTTCTTGCTACTAATTGTAAAGTCCTTGCTACATGAAACCAAAGTTTTTCTTTCAAAGCATTTTTTGAGATGAAAGATTTAGGTGAAGCTTTCTTTTGTTTAGGGATTCAGATACATCGAGACCGGTTTCTCCGAGGTATTCTTGGATTATCAAAAAAGAGCTATATTGAATAAAGTGCTCCAAGAGATTTAGTATGCAGAATTCTAGACCATTGGATACCCCTATTGCAAAAGGTGATAAATTTAGTAATCAACAATGTCCAAAGAGTGAACTTGAAATTTAGGAAATGCAAAAGGTTCCTTATACGTCAGCTATAGGAAGTCTTAAGTCTTATGTATGTTCAAGTTTGTACTCGTCCAGACATTTCTTTTATAGTTGGCATGTTAGGTAGATATCTTAGCAATCCAGGAATGGATTATTGGAAAGCAGCCAAAAGAGTTATGAGATATCTTCAGAGGACTAAGGGACATATGCTCACATATAGGAGATCAGATCAGCTTGAGATCATTGGGTATACTGATTCTGATTTCGTTGGATGCCAAGACAGAAGAAAATCCACATCTGGCTATGTTTTTCTATTGGCTGGTGGTGCTATTTCTTGGAAGAGTGTGAAACAAACTCTAGTGGCAACCTCCACCATGTACCATGGAAGCTGAATTTGTAGCATCTTATAAGGCATCCAATCAAGCTATTTGGCTGAGAAACCTTGTCAATGGGCTGCGTGTAGTAGGTGGAATAGAAAGACCACTGAAGTTGTATTGTGACAGCAGGTCAGCCGTTTTATTCTCCAACAACAACAGGAGCTCTTCTCGATCAAAACACATTGACATTAAGTTCTTGGCTACGAAGGAGAGGGTACATTGAGATTAAGTTCTTGGCTGTGAAGGAGAGGGTACAGAGTGGACAGATATCCTTAGAGCATATTGGAACAAACTCTATGATTGCGGATCCGCTTGCAAAGGCAGTGATACCGAAAGTTTTCCATGAGCACACCGCTCATATGGGTATCGTTTTGTTTGAGACTGTCTAGTTTTAGTGGGAGTCTGCTCTTTATGTATACATTATGGTTTTGAATGCTCTATTTTGTTTTGGATATGTTTTATCATGAAATTTTGTTGAGTACTCATTTTGGTTGATGGTTACACTCTGTATTATTATTATTGTTGTTACACTCTGTATTATTATTGTTTTGCTTGATCTCACTTTTGTTGGTGACCAGTTGGAAACAAACATGATGATCACATTACATTTAGTTTTCATCCTACACTTCTATAATGAATCTGTGTCATTTAGGGGTATTGGTAAGGTAGTTGATGATGAACTTAGTCATAAGATCTATGGCGAATGTTTCTTCAGCTCTTTATCAATATAATTAATGGACGAGATTGTTTTTGGATACCTCGTATGACTGCGTTTGTTGAGCTCATTTTGGTGTATGTATTTTATTTAACATATTTATTTAACATAATGTCGCCCAAGTGGGAGATTGTTGGATTTAATTTTCTATTGTGGGCTTAATATGTAAAATTAAATATGTACAGCAGTCTAATTATAAAGTCAATTTTAAATGCGGTCTTGATTGTGAATAATTGACTATTGAGGTATCAACTAATTATAGATATTAAGTGTAGAGACCATTATATAATTCCTATTTCTTTAAAGGACCGAAATAGGAATTGTACTAACAATAGCCGAAATAGAAATTATACTAACGCTACAGGTATATAAAGGTAGTGGTCCCCAGAGGAGTTGAATACGATTCAATTTTACGTTCCTTTCGTATTGCTTCCGCTAATCGATTCTTCAATTCTCTGGAAGGCTGCAAACCTAATTCTACACATCAAGATCGACCAACAACGATGTCAGGTACGCAACCTTTTCCTTCTTCTTATCAATCTATTTTTGTTGAATCTAGTGGTTACGCAACCTTTTCTTATTCAATCTATTTTGTTGAATCTAGTGGTTTGCACGATCTAGGTTATTATTGAATTATTTGAGATTAATTCTTACATAGTTTGCTACAAAAAAACATAAGATGTTGCTTAAGGTAAATATTATTGACAATTAATTGATATAGCTGATTCTTTCCTCAAAGTTGTCAAGTACAAATTGATTTTTCTATATTTGATTGCGATATTTTTCTATTATCTTGTACGAAAATATTTGGTTGCAATATTTCTCAATTACTTGTGTGAGAATTTTAATATTTTTGAATGAGGTTACAAATTAAAAATGGGGTAAGGGCAAGGTTTAAATCGAGATAAATGATCTTTGTTTTGGTTGTTAGGTTAGAATTTTATTGGCTTGTTAGACTATAAGAAAAATGTTCTTGGCCATTTTAGAGATGAAAAATCTCATTTTATTTGTAAAACTTGACATAAGTAGAAAATTACACATGAAGGTTGAATTAATGAAATTCAGTGATTATATATTAAAATTTAATATAGATTTTGATTTTTTTTTTAAATTTTATCTTGGGTATATACTATGCATGATCAAGATTCAAGAATTGCCAGTTTCGGTTTCAAAATTACGATTCTAGTTATAAGAAAGTTGGAATCGAATATTAGTATAATATTTTTTTTTGATTCATTGAGAAGTCTGATGAGCCGAGCTAACACTTCGAGCTACACAACAAGGGTTAGTCCTCTCCTAGACTTACCAAATTAGTAAAAACACTTGCAATTGAGAGAAATTAAACTCGAAACCTCTCACACTTCACTTAAGTGAGAAAAATAATATTACAATATTTAGTACCTTATATAATATATAATACAATTTTTTATTTTATCAAACATTATTTAAATTTAAATAAGAAATTAACATGACCAATTAAAATTAAATCACCTTTATTTTTTAAACCAAGTTAATTAAAATTCTTAATAATATTTTTATTAATATTTCTTTTAATTTAATATTTTCATTAATATAGTAAACATTTAATAAGAACGTCTTTTGTAATTCCCAATGTTTTGCCATCCAATTTCATTTATATTATATATATATATATATATATATATATATATATATATATATATATATATATATATTAATTAAAATTAATAGACCTATAGATCATAGATGATATATAAAAAAAAAGTTTGACATGTGGATGGTGAAATTAAACCAAAAAAAAAATAAATATTATAAAATTATAGACCTATAGATCATAGATGATATATAAAAGAAAAGTTGATGGTGGATGGTGAAATTAAACCAAAAAAAAAATAAGATATTAATTTTTTTTTAATTTTAAAAAAAAATTAAAGTGCTCCTCGGAGAAAAGGTTTCTAGAAGCCCTCCCACGTGGCACACCTAATATACAATATCCTGTTCACCTGTCTAGTGTCTAAGAGGAGCCCAAACTGCACCTTATCTGCCTTCATGGAAATGGCGATTTAGGACTTGACGCAACAGTGACTGTAACAAACAAGAGCTTCTGGAAGGCCTGACACTTGCGAAATCTAATCCTGAATCGTAGCCGTCCGATCTCATATCACCTCTCTTTATAGCAACATATATATATATATAAGTTAGATGGTCATTTTCTAAAATTATCAGCCGCTGGATCTTAAATTGGATGGTTCAACAAAATCCAGCGGCGCAGGTATTTGCAAGAAAGTGGATCAAAGTTGTGGGCCTTCGGGTTCTAGAAACTTTGGCATGTGCGAGATTTCAAGGCACGATTTTTGGAAACGGTTGGCTGCAATGAGTACCAACGTGTTAAGTTCAGCGAAATTGGCCACTGATTAAGCATTTTGTTTTGTCGAGGCTTTAGCTGACGACCTTTAAGCCGCTTAGTCCCTTTCATGATTTTTCTTTTTTTTTATTATTAATTTAATCAAAATAAAATGATAAAACTCAAAAGAAATAATTATTAAATTATTTTACAAATTAATTTCCATAAAATATGCAACCGTTCAGCTAATACAACATAATCACTTTTATTTTAGAGGCAAAATATTTATTTTTAATACTATTAAAAAATTAAAAATTTAAATTTCAGTGCTATTCACTTTTGAAGTATTAAATATATCAATTTTTTTTTCCTTAAAACGGCTCGACTTGGCGCCCAGAAGCCTAAGACCGACGAGTAACAACAAAGAAAGAGGAACAAAAGAACAGTTAAAGAAGAATTCTTCTAGAAGCTTTTACAATTATTATTATTTTATTTATTATCTATTATTATTATGCTAGCAATGACATGTCTTCCTTGCCCCTAGAAAATATTTTTTGAAACAGACAACACTGCCCCACGGTTTTATTTGTTATATCCTTAGTACCTCTGCTTTATTGATTTTTCCTGATAATTAAAAAAAAGACCTTCCTTCCTTTGACCCTTTATATATATTTTCTTTTCTTCCACCACCAATTCACACACCAAAAAGAACGGATATTCGAAATATACTCTTCAACATACGCCCTTTTACCCTCTTTCAATGTACGCTACTTCTGCCTTAGCCCTAACCCTGAATCCTCCAAGTCCGGACACCGGAAAGACAATCTTAGCATCGTCTAGAGTCCATTTTTCTCCTGGATCTCGCCGGAGAATCAATGTTAAGGCTTCGGTTTCAACGTTCGCCGATCCAATACCGGTCAGTTCGGGCAAGACAATGAGTCTGTACGAGATTCTCAAAGTCAAGCAAACGGCGTCGCAAATGGAGATCAAGACGGCGTATAGGAATCTAGCAAAGGTCTACCATCCAGACGCGATCCATGAAGAAGTACAATCGGACGGTAGGGATTTTATTGAGATCCATAATGCTTATGAGACACTGTCGGATCCGGCCGCGAGAGCGATGTACGATTTGTCTCTTGAAGCGGCTAGCAATTATTGCCAGAGAAGAAGAACAGGGTTCGGGTTTACGGACGGGTATTATCCGACCCGGAGATGGGAGACGGATCAGTGCTGGTAAGAAGCATTTTGGGCTGGCAAGGTTCAATGAATCTAATTGAAGATCAGTTTCCTTTTTTTATTCTTTTTAATTGTTTCTTCTTTTTTTTTGTATTTTATTAGGGATTTAGTCTTAGCTGTAACAATGTATAGAAATATTTTTGGTGTAGAGATTCTACACTTTATTTTTCCCCCTCTATGAGGAGATGAAAAGAACAAAAGAAAAAACATATTGTGTCCAAATGCATAAATTTACCCCTAAACTATTACTAATTCTCCAAATGGCCCCTTGACTTTGTGGAATTTTTATTGTAGCTTTGTTCAAACAGATTCTTCGGTATCTATGCCCCCTCAGAATAATAAATAGAAAAAAAAAAAAAAAAGAATGGATTTAACAATAATAATAGTATATGTATTTAATTTTAATCTACCTAAATTAAAAATGCTGACTGTATATTTTTTGTTTTTCTTTTTAATTTTTTTACACTTACTTTCGCTTCTTGAAGAACTCTCTGCTACTACAATGGTCATTCTGCTTCAGTTTTCCAGAAGAGTACAAATAACATTGGATCAAAGAAATCTTTGGCAAGATAAATTCTCAGCAAAATAATTGATCCCAAATTTTTCAAAAACTTACTTGTTTTTTGAACAAAATGATAAAAAATTATTGAAGGTAGGAAAATAAGCATAAAACCTGAAGAAAATAAAACAGGAATATGAAATTGAATATAAATCATCTTTAATCACAACAAGATATTTCGATTTTGCAGATTCAAACGAAATCAAAGAAAAATTTATTATAATGATAAAAAAAACCTCATAAAATAAAAGAAATAATAAAAAAAATCCCATAAAATTCAATGGAATAACAAGATCTGTACCAGTTCCGTGATTAAAAAAGAAAAACAGTAAAAAAAAATAATGAAAATTTTAAACCTACCTTTCCTGTTTGTAAGCTTCTTAATTCCTCACAGATTTCGCTCTATTCAGCTGAATTCTTGTTGGCGAAACACAATCAAACTGAGAGGGGAAGATAGGGATGACAATTTAATCCAAACCAATTTTGGTGGGTTTGGGCAGTGTATAAACGGGGTTGGATAGTGATTTTAGTATCCACGTCGGGTTCAGAGCTGATTCGAGTTTATGTGGACAGGTAAGGGATACCCGATAGTAATCGGGTCTAGGACGGATACCCACTGTCCGAACCCATATGGTTTGAAGCAAAATTTTTATGTTATACCAATTAAGTTAATTTACCACCAAACTACTTAACATTCTTGTGTAAAATATGCAAATGATATATGTATATACGGACAATTCTAATAATTTAAACTCTAAACATTTATTAATGAATAAAATATTATAGAATAGTAATATAATATTATTCATAAGTAAAATTTTAATAAAATTATGTGTAAAAATATGCCAAATGATTATATGTATATACGGACAATTCTAATTAATTTAAACTCTAAACATTTATTAATTGAATAAAATATTAATGAATAGTAATATAATATTATCATAAGTAAAATTTTAATAAAATTACATTATATTAAATTATAATAAATTTTAATAAAATTGAATTCATTTTTTCATAACAATATATTTAAAAAATACATATTACCTTATCAGTATTTATGTTTTAAATTATAATATTTTAATAAATTGAATTCATTTTTTCATAAAATATATTAAAAAATATATATATATAGTATTTATGTCATGTCTTAATAATTTAATTGAATGTTTTATAGTTTGGTAATTATGAAATTTTATTAAAAATAAAAAAGTTATTAATTGAATAGAATGCTAATAGTATTATAATTAAAAATTTTTAAAGCTATTTATAAATATCATCAACAAACTTCTAACGTTAATTGTAATTAGATCTTAATTTAAAATATGATTCACGTTGGAATATGAAATCTAAATAGACTATTAATAAATTAGAATATAACTTGTATAAAATAATCTTCCGCCCCTGTTTTCCTCTGCCTCTTTCTTGACGTGTATCTATTGTTTTTTAAAATCATTTGGAACAAATTTAGACTCAAGGAGGGGAAGAAAATTCCGGCAGAAGGAAAAGAAGCAAATATTTTGCAAAGGACGAACAAAAGCAGGAGCTTCCAGCAAAGAGAAAAACTCAAAATGATGCCGATGAATCTGTGAAACTTCCACTTGTGAAGAAAATTCACAAGGTTGATGATGATGACTTGTTTTTTCTTTGCCTGATAAGAAGTCTATTGATGCCCTTCCTAGTTATCCAAATGCAAGAGTGTATATACTCATCAAGGCCTGAAAATTGGATGACCCATTTTTGTCAATAAGCCCGAAATCTACACCCTTTCTTTTCCCTGTCCCAAATTATCAACCCTAAACCCCAAATATCCACAAAAATCTCTTCTTTTTTTTTTTTTTTTCGGGGTAATCGAGGTTTTGCTCTATGAGGTGAGATTCTTTGAGGATGTTTGAATTAATTGGTTAATGAACGTAGAGGGATTTTTTAGTTTTGTTATCAAATGAAAGTCTATGTAAATGTAATTTACGTTCTTGTCAATGCGATTTAAATGCCTATATCCAAAAAAATAATTTTAAATACAGTAGGGTTAAACATAATTTACGTTCATCTGTTAATCACAACTAGTAACAGCTGGGTTTTAAGAAGTGTTCCATCGACTACAAATTATAACTATATGAAAATAGAAATTTAATTTGGATCCACTCACAAATCCAGAAATCACTAGAACTTGGCAACCTGGCAACATTATTTTAAAGGGTGAAACTATGATGCAGACTAGTATTCATTTTGAATCAATAGAGAAGGCTTATTTTCACTTGTTATCCTTAAGTTCGAAGTAATCACTTTATCTTCCCAGAAAGCTGATGAGGCCATCAACAATGTTAAAGTCTCTACCGATCGCTGCTCCAACCTTCATCTTATGAGGCCACGAATGACTTCTTCCTGACAGTGGCGAAGAAGCTTTGTGGATGAAAATGGAAAAATAAAGAAACGATTATGAAAATTGGATTGAGGTTTGTCCTTTTTGGTTACTAACTAATGGGTTTAAAGAATATGAAAAGGTAAGGGAAGAGAGTTGCTATTATTAATGTAAGGTTTCTTTGTAGGGAGAGAGAAATATTTTGAACGGGATTGTTAAAAGTGTTGAACTTTTATTAAAGCTTACATGGAGATAAAAATTATACTCTCAGGAAAAATTTTCATTTTGGATTTTTTTTTTTTATATATATAGAAAATTTTATTTAATTTGGTAACTTTTTTGGAAGTTATGTCAATGTAAAAAAGTCTATTTTACTCTTGTTTTAGTCATTTATGAAGCTTTTAGTGTAGAAGATTCTCAAGATAGTGGGAGACAAAAGTATATGTGAGCATTTAATGTGAATAACTTTTAGAGAATGAATTTATTTACATCTATTTCCATTGAAAAAAAAAATTTGCTCATATAAATTATATGAGCGTGGATTAAAATGGAGTTTGAATAGAAAATGACTACAAAATTTTCAAGTTGACCTCATTGAAATGAATTCATGTAGACTTCACCGAATATTTAAAAAATTGTGCAATATTTAAAATACATTTTCAATAATCAGAGGCAGTTGGAAGGTTAAATGAACACAGATTTTCATAATTCCAAACAATTTTTTCAAATAGAGGACAAAAAATGAATTTCTCTCCACAGGTCAGAGCATACACTTCATTTTTGTAACTGCTTGTATTTCTTTCATTGAAGATTAAAATATAATTTAAGATATAGATTGATATTAGAGGAGTAATAAATGAGATATTAGGGGTAAATTAGAAAAAAGATAACAAAAAAAATTGATTAAATTACTTTATTAATCTTAATGAAAAATTAATTGTTTCTATATGAAAAGTACCGAGGGAATAAGTTGTATTTTTATTCGGTTCATGTCAACTTTTAAATCTTTGAACTTTGAAATTTAGTTTATGCATTCATATTTGAGATACAAAAAATTTCTATTGAAAAATAGTTCTTTTAAATCTAGAATTACCTCTTTTTTAGATTTTTTTTTTTTTAGAAATAAGTCTCAATTTGTCCATAAACTTGAGAACAATAACAATTTTGCCTAAAAATAAAATATTTTGCATAATTTCCCTTTAAACTTGCGCAAGAAAAATAAAAAAAATTCAATTTAATTGAAAATAATTAAAGAGTAATAAATATTTTTTCAAACTAAATATTTTTCTAATTTTATAATTTTTTTTAAATGGGTAAATGACTGAATAAAATCTTGCTGTTTTAACGATTCTAGCCAATATTTTTAATTTTTTCCGGATGATAGTATCAACTTACTTCTTTTTTAAACAACTGTAGCCTTTGTCCAAGATCCATTAGGAACTTGGAGATGTGGCTTTTAATGGGTCCCAGGACATACCAACTCCGCGGATGATTAGGATGACTAAAAAAATGTCTCATCCCTGAAAATCAATGCCTCTCAAATTTTGTCCTAAAAGCTTTTTCAACGCAACTATGAATTGTACTGAATGTATATTTATAGATGTTAGATTTTAAAAATGGCTGTCTAATACAAGAAAAAGAAATCAGTTTCAGTGCAAGAACAAATTTGATCGCGAATAAAAGAAAAGGTATAAAGGATAATAAAAAAATAAGAAAAATATATATAAAAATAAAAAATAAAAAATTGAGTCACGCTATCTAACAGACCTTTTGAAAATAGAGAATGTGATGGATAGTCTTTTTTTTATATATACATGAGACTAAACAAAAAATAACATTGGAAAATATTTTTCTTTTAATTTATGGCAAATAAATTAGAGTAATCAATGTTTGCATTAGAGATACTCTAAATCTCTGTTCATCTTGTCTCGCTCCATCAAAGCTTTATTTGGCATCCCCATCTTCGATCCATCTCAATCTTCTTCAATCGAGACTTTGATATGCTTGAGCTCGACTTCGATTTGGACAATAAAAATCATCAATTGCTATAGTGATAACCACCATATATGATGGTGTTCTCTTCTTCTATTGTCCGGCGGACTTCATGGCAATTGACAGCTAATTTTCAATGGTTTCATATGAAGAAACCTATTAGGGAGCATTACCCAAAGCGTGTTGTTGATCTTGACGATGATTTGAGGCTGATTTTCAAGAAGTTAAAAATAAGTGTGATGTTGGCAAAGACGACGATGTCATGCTTGAATTGAAATCAAGCCTTTTGATTTTTCTGCGAATTTCAATTTCTTTTTTTTTTGTAAGATGATGAATGGGACGATGAGTTCTCGTCTTTTACAAAGCTTAAAGATTGTTACCGCAAGGCTCAGTTGCTGCAATTTTCAAAGCTCAAAGTTAAAATTTCTTCTTGGACACTAGAAATTCTCAATGCAATTATCTGCAACTTTGCAAATTTATGTTTCAAATTTTTTTAAAATTGATTTTTAGGGAATATTCTCTCCCTTACGATCATTAATTAATTAGTTCTAGATTTATATTTATATACATGAAAATATGTTATTTTGCGTATAAATATATTATAACTGTTTGTTGTGGATTTGGTTCTATTATTTTGCCTTTTCTGTTTATAGATTACATTTAAAGATTTGGGATTGAGAGTTTTGCAATTCAATAATTTAACGGATGTGTGACGGAGGCTACAATTATTTTAAAAATCATAATAATAAGTTACCGGTGAGATTGAAAAAATAATAAAAAAAATAGTTAAAATTGTTAAAACAGCTAAAGTTTAGAATTTAATTGATCATTGAGTCTTTTTAAATTTAATATTTTATTTAATTATTCTATAATTACTTTCATTCATAATTTAAAATAATTTTATTTATTAAAAGTAATAAAAATTGTTTTTTAAATAAAAATTGACTTTTTTTTCTTTTGGTGCAAATTTAGAAGAAAAATTATACATTATTTCCAAATTTAAGAGGCAAATTGAACTTTTATTCATTTATTTTGGTAGTGTTAGTTATTTAATTACAATTTGTTACAATGCCGAGGCTTATTATAAGTATGTTTAAGTTAGTTAATCACAATGCACCGCGATGTCATAAAAAGAGAGAGAATATTCTTAAGAGATACCCAAAAGAAAACATCGTTCCTCTTTGTTTGACTAAGTAAATACCATATTTAATTATATTAAAAAGAGAGAGAAGGGTTATGGGATAAGTGAATTCACCGTTAGAGTTAACTCACGTCGGGAGTTGGGATAGTGTGACTTGAGTAAATTAGAGCTTACTTTTAGGCTCCGTCTATATTTGAAAAATAAATTGTCTTGAAAAGGGAATACATTTTCGAATATTAATAAACTTGTTATATTCTATAATTATAAATATGCATTTATTATTAAGTAATCATCGGTGGTCACCATCAATTGTCACCAACCATCACCACTCACGAATCCGTCAACTGCATTATCACATATGACAATCATAATTTATCATTTTTATACAATTTTTTCTCATATTTAATAATAAAATTTTAAAATATATAGTATCTATAATTTTAAATATTTTATAGCAAAGTCAAAAAGTTAATACCTACGGATCGTTGATCAGTTGATAATGTAGATTGGGCTTATGATAAGAGTTCTCAGGTTCGCTCAATACTAAATACAACTGTAGGAAAGAGCAAAGAGCCTTAAATATGACTAAATCTCTAGCCGAATTATACGGTCTCTGATGACAGGATCTGGATACCGGTTGTTTATAAAAAAAAATAAAAAATTTAATATTTTTTTTATCTAATTTTCAATACTAGAACCGAATAACAAGAAATGAAAATTATTTGGAAAATATTTATTTTCTTAAAAAATATATTTGCCAAAATTATCTTTGAAAATAAATGGAGCCTTATATTTCTTTTTTAAACTAGTAGCCTAACCCTAATTTGGTTTAGGGCACAATTAGATCAAAAGGCAAAAATAAGGATAAAGATGGATTTAGGATGCAATCGTAACAACTTGAAAAATTCGGGGTTTATTTGGTGGTTTCATACGGTAAAAATGCTTAGGAGGAATTGTTGAAGTGTGTAGGGATGTTTATAGCAAATTATATTTATATTTCCATTTTTTTTTCTAAAAAAAAATATTATATTACTAATTAAATAAGGATATAATTTTAATAATAATAATAATAATAAAAAAAGAAAGGATAAAGGACTTAATTTTGATGAAAAGGTACCACTAACAAATCATGGGCAAGCAAAAGACAGGTGCAGTATCAGCATCAAGCAAAGTAGAAAGCATTAGAGAAGGTTCTTCCATCACATGCGTGTGGTGTAGCCTCATCGAAAAGCATCTTGTTGGAGACGCGCATTCAAAACCTCAGGACAAGTTACCACATGGCCACCATAGCCACAATCCTTCATCTAATTACCATCCCAATGTTCAATCTTTTATTTTAAGTATGCACACAAAGAATAAGGATATTCCAAGCATAACTCAATTATAATTTTAAAAAAGCAAATATTTTAACTCAATTAATAAAAAATATTCTTAATAATTTATTATTATTACAATAAAATAATAATAATTCAAATTAATCAAAAATCCAAATGTTTTCAAAAGAAAACGTAAAAAAAAAGAGAGAGAATTATTTTAACGAGGAATCCTAATATTTTAATGTAACAAAATAGGAATATCCTTAAATATTTAACATTCCAATAATGTTGACTCAATTCAGAATCCTAATATATATATTTTTTAAAGAAAAATACATTTTAACTTACTTAAGAACCTCAATATTTTTGTAAAAGAACAAAAGTGAAAAATAATTTAGTCCAATTAGAAATATTGACGTAATTTAAGGATTATAATATTAAAAAATATATATTTTTTAACTAATTAGAAAAGAAATATTCTTAATAAATTTATTATTATGAAGAGATTAATATTTGAACTCAATTAAAGATCCTAATTCTTCTGTAAAATTTTTTTTAAAAAAAAGGAAATGAAAACTCAAACTGTTATATAAAATAAGAAAGATTTAACTGATATCTAATTATATCATATCCTAGACCAAAGAAAGAGAGAGAGAATCATAAAAATAAAAAATAAAAAAATTATAAAAATACACATTCAAAAAAACTAATATATCTAAAATGCGTTTGTATAGTGCACCATATTCTGAAAAGCACAATCTCATTTAAACCAAGAAATCTAGAAAAATAAAGACTAAAATTTGCATTTAATCTATGAGGACAAAGGAGAAAATCTGACGAACCTGAACTATTAGACAGATGATACTGTTCTCTCTAGAAACTAAGAAAACTCTAAATTCATAAACCTCTATTCAAAGAAGGGGAAATATAGTAATAATTCCCTAAAAAGAAAACCAAAAAAAGACAGACCTTTTCCTATGAACCACCAAAGATTTTGTACAACGTTCCTAATAGCTCAAAACTTATCAAATTTAGCACAGGTTCAAAAGGGAAGGAATCATTTACAAGTCACAAGCATTGAGTTGATGACATGCATAAGAACACGGATCGTTGAGAGTTCAGCACCAGTAATGGCAGGCAAGCTCCGTTGATGGTGCAGGATCTGATATACTTGCTCAAAAATTGGCCTTACATGCATTGCAATCATTTGGTCTGCTGGGTTTATGGCAGCTGCCACATCTGTCATCCATGCCAGCTTTCGAGCTGAATCGTTGCTAATATCACACGCCAATTGCTGTAGAAGAGAGAGTAGTACTCCTTGGTTTAATGGGAGAGGAACCGTTGCTAATATCCCATGCAAATCAACCTAGCAAAAGCAGAGACAAAATTACACAACTAATTTTTCGCAGTTCATTTCAAGACTGAGATAACATCCACTGGCCAATAAGGAATAAACATGGCAGAAGGAACTTCATGAAAATAAAAAGAACAGAATTGAGTAACCAGAGCATACAAATGAATTTCTAGAAAACTCGATGTAAGAGCACACATAGAGGGTCCAATAAAAATGACATCTTCCACATTTATCTTAATGAATTAAAAATCAAAGTGAAAGACCACTAGATAACTAAACTGATTTCATTTATAAAAACATTATAGTTTCAGGCTTTCAGCCACCCAAATTTCTTCTAATCACATATAAACAAATCATGAATAGATAGTAAGATAGAAACCTGAGAACATAACCATGACACAATTGAGACATCACTTCTTTGCAGGGCAATAGTGAAAGCCTCGTCATATTTGCGTTCGGATATCAATCTCGATAGGTCTTTTGTTGGATCCAAATGCGTCTCAACCTTAATCATTGACAGAAAATGCTTAAAATTAAAAATCTTCAAGACAGCTAACAACAAATGACAGCTATAGCTTGGTACATAAACCAACCTTATCATGGAGGCCAGCCAAAGGTCCATTGCTCAGTTGCGTAACAAGTGGATTTGCTGAACCTGAGTTTGCACCAACAGCCACAAGAGCTAACAGCTTCCTTTGACTTTCAGCCAATTCTCCATTCAAGGTTTGTGTCAACGTTGATGCTGAGTTGATGGCCTCCTGCATTTAACAAAAACAGCAACATAAATAATAGAAATGCACAACTATTTAGCAGGCAGCAGCAAAATTGGCAGAAAGAATGAATTACATATCCAACTGTTCTAATTTGCATTATGATGATTTCCTGCAGCAGTCAAACACAACAAATTTCCAATTGATTCCTGACTCGGAGATAATTCATCATCCAAAAATGCAGTAGGAAGTTAACAAAAAGCAAAATCTTTAGTTACAAAATTTTTTATTGCCAAAATAATAAGACATTTCATCTTATGGAAAGATAATTAAACACTATTTTGGCACACAGCTAAAAAGTTGCATACTGTTGGTTTGCAAATAATATTTGAATACAAGTTCGAAGTCAAAATGACATATTTTTGCTCATAACCTCAGTTATCATAGGTATGTTGAGAGAGAAGAAAGAGTCCCCTTTCTAGTAAAGTTTGTAACACGACACAAGAATACGCACCCTTAAAGCAACAGCCAGTGAAGAATGTGCAGATTCAAAATGCTGCTGAGCTGCAGTTGTATGCTCAACCATCCCTTTCCGGAAGGTGGAATCTACTTGCTCAAACATAGCTTTGCATGACATCTCAAAGGCAGGGACTACCGAAGCTTCTAAAGTTGCCTTCAAGGCATCCTGCATTAGAACAATAAGGGCTAAGTACCAATGGATCAGACACACCCCAGATTCACATAAAAATGGTCAAATGCACCATCGAAAGGCAACAAAGCAACTTTGGGTCTACACAACAAAGTGCCATTACCAAGATATAGTCCCAACAAAGCAGGTCCCAGTAGGAAACTCTGTATATAATTGCACCCATTTCAAGAAGCTTACAAATAGCTGCTCTTTGGGTTTGAACTTGCAACCATGGGGCTGCAAGTTTAAGACATATACCATTGCACTAGAAAATGGCCCTTAAATAATCTTATTCAACTAATTATGACTCATGCACAACAGATTAATTTGTACTTGTGCATACCTGGAGAGCTTGCTTTCCAGAAATTTGGAACTGTGCTTGAATTTGCCTAGCAACAGTTGTTTCAAGTTTTGAATTAACTGATTTCTCCAGTTGATTCACTGCCTTATCACCAACACCTCTCTGCAATGCAACACATGAATTAGAAAACAATGAATATCAAGTAAAAGTGACATACTTCCCAATATCTTACCTGGAATGACTCTGCAATAGCAGAAGATATTGTCTTTTCTATAACTGGAGACAGTGTACGGGCTACACCTGGTCCAACCGAAGATAATTCTTTCTTCATTGCTTTTTCTAGCATGGCCATCAAGTCCTTATTGACAAAGTTAGAGATCAAATTTGAAATTTGTTGTGTGCGATCCCGCAACAGCTTCTCAATTTTTGCATTCTCTTCTTGAAACCGAGCCCATAATGCATCAGTATTTGCCTTAACAGCTTTCTCAATGCTCCGCCCTAAAGCTGCCTCCAGTCTTCTACATTCTTTTGAAACAGGGACAGCAACCATATTTGACATCTGCTTCTGCATGTCTTTTTGTGCAGTCAATAGCTGTAAAAACAAAAGAAACAGAAAAAAAATACAAAGATCAAAGATCCCATTACAATGGTTATACGCACACTAGTATTTTGATACCATATTGGTATGATCCAAACCCAGAAAACAGGTATGTATTTGTCAAGTATGTACCAAACCCATATTGGTTACATCTTAAGATTCATCAAGTATGTATTTGTCAAATTTCACAGAATAGACCAAAGTTATTGGTCCAATCTTCAATCACCCAATGCCAAAAGTAAGAACAGGTCCCCTGGAGGGAAGAGGGCAAATTTTCAGCTTGAACCAAAAGGCAAATAACAATATAAGAGGTGACCAACACCACCAAAAATAGAACACCTACCTATCAGAACCTAAGTATTTAGTTAATATCCAAGACCATTACAAAGAACAATGGCATTTTATATGTCCAAAGTAGAACTACTACCTGATTAAGCATATCTTGCATAGCAAAAAGTTGAGGAAAGGCAGCTTCCAAAGAAGGGAGACTTGAATGCCCAGCTGGTTCGTTGGAAGAATCTATCGAATTAAAAGCACTTGGTGATGGAGATAATGGACCTGATGCTTGAGAAATTTTCCCCTTCTGTTTCTTCCCCTTTGTACTTGGAGTTGTTGATTGCTGAACTATTGCAGGTACGGTTGATTCAGAAACTCTCTCTGATAAGGCTTTTGTGGAGTCATTAACTTCCTCACTTGTATGAGAATGTTGGGCATGAAACTCAGCTACACCAGCGACATCAACTTGCTGAGGCTCCTCCAAAGAATAAGTTTCTGCTGATATAGCACTACACTCCCTGGCCATCTCAATACCAAGGTCTGAAGCCTGGGAGCAAAAGAACTTCTCCTTATTTTCTGACATAAGATTTTTAGATTCTCCTCGGAAGCCAAATTCATCATTCTGAGTAGATTTCATTTCACCAACTTCTTTAACCTCCACCTCTGAATTACTGACATCACTATTGATAACCACATCCTGAATATTAGCTTCAACCTCAGTCTTGACTTCATTATTATTATTAGGAGATGGAACACCCATTAAGATCTCAGCAGGAGTTATCAGATGTGTTGGGTGTTTAAATGTGATTGGTCGATTAAGCATGCCAGAATTATCTTCTTGTGTACCTTTTGTCTCATCATTCCTGGAGTCAATATCTAAGGAAGGAACATCCGATAAGTTTGTGCGAATAGACTCCATTTGCTGGTCAACTGAATAATCAGTAACTTGCTGATTTACACTCTGGTCACTAGGTGGAGGGCCTTGTTCAAGCCTCGCTGCATCTGTAAGCTCAGAAAAATCATTGTGGGTCAAGGAAGGGGGAGATGATGAAATACAAGATATGTCAGCATCACTAATTGAAGGGGTTAAAGCAGGAGGTTTAGAGTCAATACTTGTAGAGGGAATGTCTGGCAAAGAAGCCGCTTCAACCGAAGTAGAGCTTACAGGGATGTCAGAAAAGTTGCTTCCACGCGAGTCCAAAGCAGCAACTCCTTCAACATTAGCTAGATCATGTGAAACATTAGAATCCAATTTCTCTGAACCCACATTATCCAACAATGGAGGCAAGCACTGGCTTAGCTCCAAAGTGTATTGCTGGATAGCCTGTGTCTGGACACAATAAATCTGAGCAACATACTGGTCATGTAAAACATCACTAGTCCCTGTTAAACTCAAGATAGGCATGGTAACAGTGAATTCTGATATGTAATCTATACGGGTTGCTGCCGGGGTAGGACCATAATCCAAGTGCACAGCATATATGGCATTCCTCTTAGCATTTGCAAGTAAGAGGAGGCCCACTTGGGACAGAGCTACAACTTGATTGAAGAATGTCTCTTCTACTCGAGTTTCATCTGAATTCTTCAGCTCTAAAGTCTGGATGCAATTCAATGAATCACAATCACTAGGCAAGAGCCAGCCCTCTTCTTTGGCTGAGACCCAAATTTTCACTTCCCGATTTTGGGGACCCTGTTCACATTTTTGGAAGATAGCAAGAAATGACATAAGATTTACAAGTCTTGAAAACTGAACACAGTATTCTTATGCTCAGCAGTGAGCAAACTTTAAATTACATTTTCATAAACTTAAACAAATAACATCCCAAAAAATTAAAAAATGCTTAACGATCTTACTACTGCAAAAGACCAATTTAGTTAATCCAACACCTGGCTAGCACAAGCATGATTAAAAGCTTTTTACTAACAAAAGTAGGCCAGTAGACTAAAAAAAAGCATAGCCTTTTTGCACTTGTCCAATTTTAGCCAATCCATTAATTTTTGTCAAGGCTATTCACAACCTTTTACATTGGTAACTATTGTATCCAGCTCAATCAAACTTGACAAAAAAAAAAAAAAAAAAAAAAAAAAAAAAAAAAAGAAAAATTTGTGTAAAAAAAAAAAAAAAAAAAAAAAAAAAAAAAGAAAAAATTTGTGTAGTAAAAAAAAAAAAAAAAAATTAGTTTTATCCGTCTTAAAGGTTTTTTCCCCTATCTTTAAGCTTCCTCTACTCGCGTCCTCTCTCTCCATCTCCATGACTGATCTAAAGTATCAATTAACTGAAGAAAAATTCAAACAACACGTTCGGCACAGAAATTATTTATATACAAAGAGGTGATGTCTTCAGCTAAATACGAATACCTTCAGTTTTCATACCATGTCCGTGTCCCTCACCCATAGTTGTCAAATTGGGAATCGGATCGAGCCCTATTTTTTGAATCGAGAATCGAATTGAATCATAAGATTTGGTTGATCAATTAAAAATTATTAATTTTATCACAAAGATATTAAAAATCCAATTGCAAATCATAAATAAAAGGATCTCTCTCAAAAAAAAATCATAAAACAAAAGGGAATTTGATGGCTTATAATATGTTAATACCTGATTGTAATTGCAGAGAGTGTAATTGTAATTGTAATTGTGTGAATTAGTTTGGGCATTAATTCTAAATAATTTGTTGCCTTATGTCGTGGCAGTTATTGAATTGCATTACAAATAGTCTACTGATGCATATATGGACAGATTAGTCATTTCTGCTCTAATAATATCTGTTCAGATTCTCTCTTTAATTTTTTGTAGTTCATTCTATTATCTTTCTCTTTCTCTCTTCTCTCTCTTTTTATCTATTCTCTCTCTTCACCTCCCTCCTTTTTTCTTCTTTCTTTGCTATTTTCTAATTGTTTCTCAGTAAACAATTTTTCCAATTGATTTCCAAGCGTGAAATCGACCAATTCATTGTGACTGAGATTCACTGCCTATTCGATCAATTCATAACCGATTTCAGGCTTCTTTCTGATTCTACACTAAGATTCGTATCGTTTCCCCTTAGATTCGATACGAATCAGACAATTCAAATCGTGAATCGTAACACTGCCCTCACCAGACCCTTCAACTTTCCCATCCCATTCCCGCAGCCTGACCCTTAGCTATATCCCTCCTCATGTTCATAAGCTGATACAGTAACAGTCTTGACCCAGTTAGGGTTCCAAATGAGTCAAGCCACTCAAAGCACAGCTCGGTGAAAAATTGTTCATTTTTCAAGGCTTATTCAATAAAGTATCCAAGCTAAGTTAAGAAAAGCTCAATTGGTCTAGGCTCATGGGCTACTCATATATCGGTTGATGAGCCAGCTTCTATATAATTCAATTTTACATTTATATCATTTTTTCTTATCTATAATTTTACACATAAATAAACTTATCTGAAATTATTTATTAAATAATACTATAAAAAAATAATAACTTTCAATAGTATAAAAATTAAAGCCTGTATATTTATCATTAAAATTACTTAAAATTATATTAAATTTTTAAACAAATATTTTCATTTTCTGAATTAATTTATGAATTATTCTATTTATCACTTAAATTGATTTAAAAAAAAAATTAAGCTCAATTAAGCTCGTTCAGGCTCACAAGTTTTATATGAGGCCAGTGATGCTCAACTCGGCTCATTACTAAATGAGCCAAGACTAAGCTGGTCAAAGCTCACTTGTTTGCAGCCCTAGACCCAATCCACATTCTTGATTTCCATCAAATTCTGCACTGCCCATGATTCTGCACAACCCAGCATATAAACCAGCCCAGAACTTGCAGTTAGACTCAGAACTTGAGCTGAATTAAAACAAAGCAAAAATAAGCTTGAATCCTGGTCCAGAACTGGAAGTATGACCGGCTTCACTTCACTACAAGTATGCTCCACCAAAACCACCCAACTTGACCCAATTGCCCCACCTTTCCAGTTACAAAATGGCATAACTGAGTTTAGAAATCATGTGCAACTTCTAGCCAAGGCCAGCATATTTGAAGCAAGTGCACCACAATAGCACAGGCAAGAATAAAATGCCATTGAGCTTCTTTTGACAGTCTTGCTTGAGGAAGGGAAAGGGAGAATGAGAGGGGAAGGGAGTGAAAGGTAAAGAGAGGGAGAAGTGCGAGGTTGCAGAAAGGATAGATGCTTTAAAATCAATTTCAAGTTTAACTAGCGATAAAATAACATTATTCTATACTTAATTGAGATTTTAACCAATGTAAAATTGAAAATGCACAGAATGTTATGGATTTTTCAGTCCAATGGGCCACAACAATAAAAATCTTAGTGGAACGTACCGCTGTGATAAGTATGATGTGATCTGGCCTGCTGGTAGCGGTCAAGAACGTAGCTGAGTAAACAGAAAGGCCATCGTGAGGCTTTAATACTACAAGGGGTAATGCCTTGAGATCCTCCCAAATTTTAATCTGGTCACAAAATGAAGTATGAACCAACATGATTTTAGAAACAAGTTATAATTTCTATATAAATCAATTAGCATAGTAGGAAATAATCATGCATGCACATAAAAGTAGGAATATCAAACAGATGCTGGAATTTGGAAGATGTTTATTTGCACGTTTATATGTATAAACTTATGACGAATGAATCCACCAAGCAAAAATAGAAAGCATCTGAGCACTATAAAGCAAATAAGGGAAGGCTAGGACAATCCCAACTAATGAATACAGAATGATGTCACCCTATTTTCAAGTCCTCAGTTCTCAAAAGTGTATAAAATTAAGGATCAAAATCATTGCAAGCCTAACAAAAGTTTAGATTCATATTACATGAACACAATGATATTTGCTATTTGCATGACACCTAGAAAAGCTTTTAAAGAATCAGAAATTGAACCAACATGATTAAAAAGCTAAATGTGAACCACCAACAAAATCAACAGAGATAGAGACCGTAGAGAAGAGACAAGTTATCACAAATTGACATCAACATTGAACTTTTCCCCAATCAAAATTCAATGGAAAGAGTTCAACTGTAAGACTTTTCTACTTGTAATCTCCGACTATCATCATCTCATGTGGTTAATATCTTTATATTCTTTGACCAAATTCATTCTTGGCCTAATCCAACCTATTTGAGACTAATTCAACAAGCCAACACATAAGAAATCTAATTCAAGTTTGAGAATTTCCACAACTTAACGATGCATAAAAACTCACATGTATCAATGACTAACTCAAAAGGAATTCTAGAAAATAATTGATGAGGAAAATGAGAATGAATATAGCCAAAGGGCAAGAGCGAACACAAACCGTGCCATCCATAGAAGCAGAAACTAAACGAGTGGTCATCCATTGGCACATTGATAAATCAGTCACCTCTCCGTCATGTTTTCCAACCAATTGGACACCATCAACCAGTTTGTCAACAGGACATTCTAGAGGTGCCTCTGATGAATAGACTCCACCCTTTCCAACTTTGTTAGTGTCGATTCTAAGAACACGCTTACCAACCCCAACCACCAAAATTTCCTATTGAAAAAGTGAAAGGGATCATAAGCAAGCTATAGCAATTCCACAAATGAAAGGGACAATTAAAATGAAAATAAAAGAAACAAAGAAGATATAAAAATGAAGAAGGCAGGAACTCCTCAGAGGGGAACAAGCAATGGGTAAAACCATTCTTAAGATTAGAAAATTTATGTACCCACATAGAGATCTTTCTAAACTGTTACATTTAAATGGCTTATATATGCATTGGATTTAATTTTAACAAAGATATTTTCTCTTTGTAAACAAGGTTATAAAAACAAAAACTAATCCTTAATCCCAAAGTAGTTGGGGTCAGTTATTTCCATTCTCCTCTGTAAATCAGACTTAAAATATAATAATGATATCATTATCTTTTTTTAATCTTGTTTATTATTAGATATAAAATTAATTCTATAAATTAAAAAATAAAAAACAACTCCAAGTTTTCAAGAGTATAAATTGAGAATTTAGGTTTTCCAATCTAAGAAAATAAATCCAGTTCTTTTCTTTTTTTCTCTTTAACATTATTGATAAACTAATTACAAAACATAATGCTAAAATATGACCTTAATTACTTTGTAACTTAGACTCTCACTTTACGTACCATTATGTATTTAGAATTTCTTCTGAAACCTTTATTTTATTGTTCAACGATAATATAATAAGATTAAAATTATTATAATAAATAAAACACTTTTAGTGATTCTATTAAAATTCTTGTCACCATCAAAGTCGATTTTTAAGTGTTGGCACTTGTCACCATTAAATTTAAAATTATTTCTAACTAAGATGTATATATGCTCTGTGAGATTATTTTAAATTATGTATCATTGTAATTTAGAATATAAAAATATAATTATATGTAAAACATAGTCCGCTTATCTAAAATGTAACAACGAATCTTAAATGTTTATATATACAACAATCTTAAATGGTTTATATATATATATATATATATATATATTTGATATGTTTTTAAATTAAAACCTTCATGTATCTTAAGTTTTAAGGTTTTATATATTGATATGTTTTTAAATTTTAAACCTTATGTATCTTAAGTTTTAAGTTTTACCATATCATTATATTTTCTTTTTTTCATTAATAATTATTTTCTTTCAATTAAAAAATCTTTTTTTCAAACCTTAATTTTTACAAACATCATTTTTAAATTTTATTCTACTTTTATTTAAATTATAATTTACACAACCACATACTTTACAGACATGTAAGATGGAATAAAAAGTAAAAGGTGAAGAAAAAATTACATCAAGAAGGATTGAGAGTATAAGAGAGAGAAAAAATGAATTTTACACATTTAAAAAAAATAATTTGCCGAAGAAATAGGAAAAAGCATATATTAAAAGAAGAAAAAAAAAAAGGCAGTAACCTACTATCGCAGGTCGCTTGCCACGTCATTAGATTATAAATTCTGCATTCATACAGCAAAAATTATTTCTCTACAATAGAAAAGGCCACAAGCAATAGGAAGTCATACTTGTTTGTAGCAGTGCCAACAAACTCGTGGATTTTTAATTTCTCCCTCTCCGACTATTTGAATGGCAATAACAGCCTTTCCTGTAATTTGTGGCTTATCTTCCTCATCTGGACCTTCAGAAATTTTCCAGACATTAATCCGTCCATCTATGCCAGCACTGCATAAAAACATGTCATGCAACAAGAAGCCAAACAATATGAGAAAAATTACATAATACAAAGAAAAAGGTACCTAGCCAAGAGATGGACATCCTCAGCAAAGAAAGCCATGTCAGTGACCCTCTGCAAGAGAAATATGCCTCTTAGATGATGAAACAAGCAAAATAACATAAGCATCTGAACAAATTTGCATTATAAACCCTTTTAAATAGTCTATTAAGTGAATGAGAATATATCGATGCTCTGTATAGATGATACAACATGAAAAGAATCCCAAAATGGATTGTATTGCAGATATCACAGAGGAGGAATATTTCATGACCAGACGTGATATATTTGAAATCATTTTAAAAGAAATAACCAAAACATCATCAGAGACAAATAAATAAATAAATAAGATGGCAAAAGCATTATTCTCATGCGTGCAATATTTTTTTTTTGCAATCAATAATAAGTAACAGTTGCAAGGATTGCATGCTAAAATCTAAATACATTATCATCTTACTCATATTTGAGTTAGTAAATGAAAATTTTTTTTTTTAACTTAACAATTAGAGAAAAAAACTCAGCACAAAACCTCTTTCCTTCTTGCAATGCCAAGTATATAACCTGACCAAGAAAAATGCACTAAAGGTTCAACAAAAACATAGGATAAACTTGCAATAATCATTTAGCAATTTCCAAAACAATCATCTTGTTTCCCTTTCCCATCAACTGCAGAACAGCTCTGTTCTTTATATAAATATCCATGTCTTTACTTTATCTTGAAGGTCAAAAAGTTATTTCTTGGAACATGCTTATTTTTAACAGCTCTTAGGAGAATTAACAGGATGCCACATAAAATTCAGTCATGACAGACTAAAGCAATAGGCAAAAGAAATGAATGAAAGAATGCTTATTTGTGTAGAAACATTGATTGATTGAAATCATATTAGTGTGGAAACATGAGATTGCTAGGGATTCAATTAATAAGAGTACTTCAGAATGAAAATAAATCAATAAACAATTTTCCTATCCTAGCATAGGAATGTAAAGGATTAGAGCAGCGCACAGAAGACATATACTTAACTCAACTTCACATTAATCCCATTCAAGAAGGGACTGCTATCTATTTCTTTCCTCCATTCCAGAGGTTTTGGGCACATAAAAGCATATAGCTACATGAAAAAAAATCAACCAGACCCCTCTTGAGGAAAAGAAGGAAAAGAAGAATGTCAATTCAGGCTGGGTGTGCCATATTCAACTTTTCATAACTTTACTCTATTTATATGAGTTTACTATTTATCTAAAAATTTATATCTCCAACTTATTTGGGATCAACAATTAATTGAATAGAGTTGTCAATTTTTTCTACCATGATTATCAATTTGCATGATTTCAGATTCACAATTCATAATTATATTCCAGCTTTGTTAACAGCATATGCAATCATGATTACCAAGAGCTTTGCCCATTCAACAGACAAAGCACAAATTATGCAATGCAACAACTTCAAGCGTTTGAATATAGCTTATGTGAACATTAAAATACCAACACCTTCACAGAGGCAAAGTTCATTTCCACATGACAACCACATATACACGAGAATCAACCTATCAGTGAAATCACAACCAATCTCCTTAAAGTTGATACAAACTATAACGCATAAGAAAATAACCAAATTACAAATTTGCAAAAACCAATAAATATACGTAGCGAGACCATATCTACAGGGTTAAAATTAAACCACACTAAGAATATAACTTCATTTTAATGTGAGACCTCAGTGTCACAAAATAAACACATTCTCTACGGCAACAACAAAACAAATAATAGAAGGGGAAAAAACAGAAAAGACTGAGATTGAATTAGACCTGAGACTGGGTGCGAAACAAGGACCTCAAGGCAGTATTTATGTTAAGAATCCTAATATTCCCCTGCTTCAACCCATAACAAATATAAGACTTATTAACAGCAATTTGCCTTCCCAAGCACAACTGAGGATCCGAAGTGTATTTAGTTATGGGCGTGACCTCAAGCTGAGGCTGCACCTCCCCTTGCAACCTCACATCCACATCGTACACCACATTATCACCCGTAATCCGCCTGCCCTTAGGCATCTTACTGCTCGGCATCCTAATGGGTCCCACAGGCGGAACATTGTTTCCACCAGAAAATTCCGGCGGATGCTGGTTTAATTGAGGCGGCGGTGACGGTTCCTGCTGTGGCGGAGGAGTGGGGCGGAGAAGGGCCATGATTTCAGCCCCACTGCGCTCATTATTGTTACGAGAAGAAGGGTTCTGTTGCTGTTGCTGCTGCTGCTGGGGTTGCGGCTGTGGTTGCAGTTGAAGAGGAGGCGTGGGATAAGAAAGAGAACGCTGCGGCGGCACATTGGTGAGAGGAGGAGGAGGATATGAAGGGAGATGGTGGAATTGTTGAGGGAATTGGAAAGGAAAGTTAGTTCCAGTAGTTGGAGGATAAGAAGAAGAAGGAATTGAAGATGGAGGTGGAATCATGAGATTAGGATTTGAAGGGTTTGGGGTTGGGTTTTGGTTTTGGTTTGCTGTTGTTGTTGGCATGAAAAATTTGTGCATGTCAAATTGTGGATTTGGGGAAGCCATTAGAATGTGAAATTTGAAGCTTTTCGTTTGATTTCAGATCTAATTGCAAATATATGAATGAATTTTAGGGTTTTGTTTCGTTTTTAAGGAGAGCTAGCGAGAAAGATTTTAGAGAGATCTGGAGAACAAGGTTTTGAGAAGAAGAGCAATAGAAGTGAAGAGAGGGACTATGGAACTGGAAAGACCAGAGAAATGAAAATCACAAGTAAAAGAAGGTCCATGGTACAGATTTTTTTTTTTTTTTTTTTACTTGGTCTTTTTTATTTTGTTTATATATTTCTTTGAAAGGTTATTTTGTTTATATTTAAAATGCATATAATTTAAGTCACATCATGTTTTTCTTTTATTTTTCATAATAACATATAATTTTTTCTCTATATATATAACTTCTATATAAAAAATAAATTATACAATAACTAAGTGAATAAAATTAATTTTGTTTTAAATTGAATATATTATAGCCTTCTATGTAATTTTTTTTTACCCGAAACTCAAAGCTGTTAATTTATACCATTAGCATCAAAATAAAAGCTTCATAGAAGAAATTAGAAAGGCATACCCCAATTTAAAGTCGGCCAAAGAGATATATACCTTTAAAATGGTACGATCAATCTAATTCACTGATTTTTTTAGTAAAAATAAAAGAAACATGCATTAGTTTATCCATCAAAGCTTTACAATCCAAAAACTACTTGATAAAAAAAAAACATCAGCATTATCAAATTTACGAGCATAAATAAGAATTTAATAATCTAATTCGATGCAAACAGAAATTAAATTCAAAGCTTCCTGAAAATACAGCAGTGACCTAATATTGAATTATTAATGGTGGACTTTAAGCAAGATTTTCCGGCCAAACATCGTCCCAAATGGTCTATGACAATCATGCCCATACTATATCAATGTTCATTTCCTCCCATGACAACATTAAAATTCCATTTATAATCATTAATCTATGGAGGAATCCACTTATGAAGCTGCTGATTTGGTAAATGTTGAGCACCCTCCACGACGTTGAATGTCATTCAATCAACAATTGTTGTGCATTGCTAAAATTCTTGCCGCTGTATTCGATTTTTGGCATTATAAAACTTGATTCCGGTTTCACCATATTGTCGATAAAAGCACAGAAGCCCCCTGCAAAATCTCAATTCCATTATCTTTGACAGCTGCAAACTAATTAAATAGACTGAGAAATCCTCTCCAACCTAAATTCGATAAGGACCAGCATTGCTTGGCAAAGCTACACAGTAAAAGAACATGAGTTGTTGTCTCTTCCACCAAATCACAAACTTGGCACAAAAACAGAACTGTAATTCTTAGACTTTTTATAGAAATTGTGTTTAGAAAAAAAAATTACAGAAATTGTGTCGTCGAAAAGTATTTATGGATAGGATTCTTTGTTGATATTTCAAAAGCCTTTATTACACTTTCAACGAAACAAATGCATTGTTATACTACGACTGACTGTAATAAAAGCAATGAGATTTTTTTTAATGTTGTCCAATAGATTTACCGGACAAATATTTTCTCTCCTTCTCCCCTTGTTAATTGTACACTATAAGTATAATATTGATAGAATATATTCCTTATGCAAATTCATATGTGCTATGTGAAATTGTTACACTCTAAAAACCATAGTTGATATTCCCACCCAAAGAATGAGATTCTTATGCAAATTCATATGTGTTGGTGCAATTGTTAATCTTACAATGTAATAACCTATAAACTATTGTTATTGTCATATTTTAAGTGTAACAACCTATAAAGATAAAACACAAATTGTGTCATTATTCGTATAACAACAGGTTTTATTTACACAATTTAAACTATGCATGTGAACAAAAACGGAGAAACGAGTTATTTGAATTATGAAATTATTTAAGAGATAGTATTATTATTATTAGAAAGAAAAATATTATTGTGTAAGAGGTGGTATTATTAATGGGAACAAAGATGTTTGATGTGATTGTGGGAACGTTTGCTATATTTATCCCTTAAATGTTTGAAAGTGAAAATGCTTATATATTTCCTACTTACAGTGTTTCCTTCTCTTTCATTTCTCCTTCTTCCTCTGTATTTTTAACTATCATCAGTAAATTATAGTTAATATCCTAAACTAGTTCATATTGCTCAACACGTGTGAAGATTTGTGGCATTTGGTAAGGTTTAAATTCCTTTTTTTATTAATAAATATATAATGTTAGATATTTGTTAATTGAATAAACATCTCATTATATTTAAATGTGATTTTTTTTTTCTTATTATAATGTGTAAATGTTTTGTTTTACACTTGGCATTAAAAGCAAAAGTGATCATCTTATTTCAAGGTAAATACTTATATGTAAAAGTCATTTTAATTTAATTTCTAATTTTGCGGATAGTACTAGATCTTCATTTCTTCAATATCTATTTTCTTATTTTTTAAAACTATTTTATTATCTTGATTTTATTTCTTCAGCATCTATAAAAGTGGTCTTAAAACTATAAAATTTTTTATGCTTGATTATATTTTTGCTTCATCATAATGTACCGTAAATGTTATTGAATTTATAAAAAATTGACAACTCTACATTTCTCTAATTATACAAAGTGATATAATTTTTAACAACTTATAAATTATAGTTGACAAATTTCTCATAAATTTCTAATTTTATCATAATAATATTCATGTAAAAAAATATAAAATATTCAATGTAAAACAATAATGATACGAAGATCTCTAAAATAATTTCCTTTTTCTTATTATAATTAGTATTGTATGATCGCAATATAATAAAAGAAAAAGTTAGCCAGTTTTGTATTTATATTTATATTTATGCTTACTACCATTCATTGAGCCGAAACTCACAGCGTGCCACTTATTTTTCTAGGTCATTATTATGTTTCTCTATTTGATTTTGTCCCTTTTGCACGGGTCTTACCCCCCTCATCTTGGAAGGATTTCTATATATATGAATAATTAAAGATTCAAAATTTATGATTTTGGATTATTTCTTGATTTTAGTTAGCTTATGTATGAACTTAAATGTTAAGGGTGTGTTTATTTGCAGAAAATTGGAGTAGTTTTTTAGAAAAGTTTTCCAAAAAAACTGAAAACTGATTTTTGTATTTAAATTAATCAATTTTCTATTTGGAAACCTAAAAAACAGTTTTCCAGTTTTTGAAAATGTAGTTAAGATTTGGAAACTAGTTTTAAGTTGTTTTCCACGGTTTTCTTTTATAACAAAAGACTGTTTTCTATTTTATAAAATAACGTTTTCATAATTGACGTTATAATTTTCTATAAAATATTTTTATTGAATAAATAAAAATATTTAAATAACATATAAAATTATATTATGCTTTAATATATGAATAATTTTATTATTACAGATATATTATATCCTTTACTTTTAAAAAATTATAGAAAACAATAAAAAAATTTATATCCTTTTAAATTTTATTATGAATAATTTATATTACAGATATATTATATCCTTTACTGTTTAAAAAATTATAAAACAATTAAAAAATTTATTTATTATTATTATAAATAATTGATAATAAAAATTTTAAATAAAAAAATTTCAAAGTTAATAATAAAAAATTTCTAAAGTTAATTTATAATATTTTATTTTAATTATGAAAGTTATGAATAATGTTTGTGAAGTTTTTAAATTAAAATATGATTTTTTATATTGTTACCAAATAAATGCATTTTTCACTTTCTGTTTTATAATTTTTATTTTTTTAAAAAACTGTTTTCTTAGAAAACAAAAAAAATATTTTTTGTAGGTAAACACACTCTAAGTATTTTGGATCAAATGCTATACCTTAGATAGTATTGGGCTTAGATTACAGACTAGAAAAGCTTACTACGTAATTTTGGTGCTTTATTTTTTTTCGAGCTCTAGTGTCGATTCGGTCCAATGAAACAAGTTGTGACAATTTATAACATTACGACGTAGACAAAATAAATAAAAAAATTTATATAGAATAATAATCACGAGTACAGCAATGTGAAATATACATCCAGAAAAATTATATATATACTTCAAATTATCTTTATTTTGATTTCTATTTCTGGGTATGTTCCTACTTGATACTTGATAAGAAATTCGATTTTAAGAGCCTTTAAGCTATAACCTTGAAAGTTGACTCCAGTTAGCTATTGAGATGGATTTGAGAGTTGAGACTCAAACATACAAGTATGCATGTGTATTGTAGGTAGAACTTTAAATTAGCATAGATTTATAATGCATAAACCTCGGATTTGGATAAAGTGCATAATAATTTATAATTCTATTAACGGGAATATCTTATTTTAATATAATTGATGATGGGGAAAGGAAAATTGGAAATTTATTAAATTGATTGTCCGTTGAATTGGCAGTGTAAATTTTAATTAATAAATAATAAAAAATATTTATGACTTGTTTAACGTGTAGATAATTCTATGTTTAAGAGAACTTTTTTTAAAATTTCTACAGAATCAATATCAATATATAACAATATCAATATTATATATATATATATATTATATATATATATATATATATATTTATTATAATATATTATATAGTATATATATATATATAAAGCCAATCATTTTTTCCAAAAAAATGATAGGTGGCATATTAAATGAATGTTTTTCCCTTATGTATGCCATATAAGATCTTGGTAATGGCATATGGGATATAATGCCCCTAGAACTCTTAACTTTTGCTTAATCACATAAATTTAATTATTAGTATATTGTTATATAAATATTAATATTAATTATTCATAATTATCATTCAATTATCATATTAATATATATTATAACTTATCTTTTAAATTAATATTATTATAATATTGACATTGAATATCATTATAATCAATTGCAGTTATCATTTATTATTATGAATGAAATTTTTATATTTAAAAGAATGATAGAGAAGGTTAATGGTGAAAATATTTATTAATAGTTTTGTTAACGATGAATCCAAATGTTTCAATATTTGTTTGTCTTAAAATTGCAATATATAGTTTTTTTAATAGTTTTAATTATAATAAATTGCCGTTAATTGCTTAAAACTAGACTATAAACAGAGAAAGCGCTTGAGGTTTGGTAAGATCATTTTTTTTTTGTAATTTCAATAATTCTTATATAATTTCTTTTTGACATTGATATATTTTTTTTCTCTTCTAATTTCTATTACTCTATCAAATTAGGAAAAATTTAATAAACCATAAGAGAAAACAGTTTATATGAAATTATCATTAAGAATAATAAACGTCTATGATTGAATTATTCTATTGTCAATTTTTCATTTTATTATTTTATTATGCTTTAATATCATCTAAGAAAGTTTATATAATTTAAAAATAAATTAAAATCAATAATTTTTAATATATATTCCTTGTCTTTCACATTTCTTTCAATTTTATTATAGACATTAATTTTATATAATTAGTCTAATGTTTTGAATTTGAAATAGATGTTCTTTAATTTAAATAATTTTCAACAAAATTAATAAAAATAAATTTATAAATAATTTAAATTATAATTTTTTTATTAATTAAATTTTATTTTTTTTAAATATTATCTCAATATCTCTAAGATTATAGATAAAAATATTTACTATGTATAGCACATGCATGCCGCTAGTATATATATACAGAAAACATTTAATGGCATATCCACTTTGCATTTTAAATTTGACATGTGGTATATTCCTCCAATTATGTTTCCACTTGGTATGGGTTGATTTGATTATTTAATGTATTAATATGACTTGGTTTGGTTTTGATTTATTTTAAATTAGTATTTTTGGTCTGGTTTGATTTGGTTATTTAATGTATTCATGGCTTTAAGTAATTATTATTAATTATTAATTTTTCAAAAATGAAAAAGTTTAATAAAAATGAATTACTCAATTAATGTATTAATGTATTGCTTTATAACAAATGTTTACTCTCAAATTTGTGAAGTAACAAATGTTTTCTCTAACACCCGTTAATATATCTTTAACGTTTTCTTTTCCATTTATTTATATTTTTTTAAATGGTATAATAATGCATTTTTTTTAATTTTAAATTATTTACCTTCAAGAAACATTTTAACTTTTGTAGAAATACTATACATAAGTTGTATTATTATACTCTTTTGTATTATTGGCAAATGTGTATTCGTTCCTGCTTTTAAATGTATTATTCATTTTTTTTTAAGTTTATAATTTTTTACATTTCAACTATTTCCACTAATGAGGTTAGTAGTTCTTATTCTTTTTTTTTTTTTTTTAGATTATTAATCATGTTTGTTGTGTCGTTAAACTATATATATAATAAAACAAGGTAGAATTTTCTTTGTGTTGCGTTGTAGGATTAAATTAATTGAACATGCGTATAACTTAATTATTTATTTTTATTATTTATTTTAAAAGGAAATTAATTTTATAATTGAATTAAAAACCGTCTTAATGTAATTGATTAAGATAAAGTTAGAGAATTAATAGTGTGTTATTAACATTATATTAAAATTTTTAATGATATAAAATTAATACATAATTTATAAATTTAATGATATATGCAGTTATATTTTATATTAAAAATTAAAACTTTTGTATTAATTTAAATTATGTTAAACTAATTGATTATTATAGTTATTAATAATATGATAAGTTGAAGATTTATATAACTTTTAATTATTAAATAAATTATTTATTCATGAATTTTACTGAAAATAACGAGGGTAATTATTTTACCATTTAATTTTAAAATATTAAAAAATAGTGAAATTTATAAAATAAATTATTTATTCATGAATTTTACTGAAATAACGAGTTAATTATTTTTTACATTAATTTTAAAATAATTTAAAATAGTGAAATTTATTACCTTTCATTTTACTTTTTTTTTATTTATCTCTATTGTTAATCCAAATTTTTGAACAAATGTTTATCTACTAATTTTTATTTTAATAATCATAAATCATGCTACATATTTTTTTTACTATTAATATATCTTTATAATATTTTTTAACAGCATAATAAAAAAAATTTTATTCAAAAATCTATAAATTATATATACATTCTTTTAATTTTATTCTTTTAATTATCTATACATTCTTTATAAATGTCTATCAATTATGTTGCTAGTTTTTAATAAATATAGTGATAAATAAAACTGGGCCACAAACAAAGTTGATTAATAACCAAAACGCAACATTTTGGTAAAAGACGAAAAACCATGTTAACCGAAAAGTTGCTTTTCTTTCCTTCCTCTCTCTCTCGCGCAGACAATAGCAGCAGGCCGGTAGCAACGCCTCCATGGTGACGAAAGCCTATACAGCCGACAGCCATTAGCCGTTAGCCGTTCAGCTGAGGCTACTCTCTTTCTCGCATTTTGTCAATTCTCCTTTCTTTGTGGCGTTGCCGTTCAGAGCCAGTCGCCGCTGTCAACAACCTTCTCGAAGCCATTGGTTGTACGTAGCCGTCCTACCTAGTTGAGCTCCCCATTTGGACGAAGCTGCATAACCATTGGCCAGCTCTACTTTCATTCCCGTCAGTAGCACGCCTTGCGGATTGCAAAACCCTCCTTTCTTAGAGGTAATTCTGTTTCTGTCTTCTAGTTTAAATTCTGGTTTTTGAAATGAGTTTTGTGATTTTTCGTTTAATTATAAGTTATTAATTTTTGGGTTTTGAATTACGAATTGAAAATTTTCTTCTTCAAAATTTCAAGATAGATATATGAACATGGGTGTTTCAAGTTCAATTGGAATTTAACTTTGCAATTTCCTCTACAAATTTGATTTTTAGAACCTAATTTCACTTTTTTTTCTACAATTTCATTGTAGCGCCTCTTATTTTCTTGACATAAATATATACTAATTTATGATTGAACTTTTATTGGTCTGTGCTCCCACTCTGGCAAGAAACTTGGCTTTTGTATGGAATTTTTCATCTTGTAGTGGAACAGTTTGTTTTGATTGGGTTTTTTCAAATGTTTAAGTAAGCCTAGAAGAAACCATAGAATTTAAAGAACCAAAAAAGATGAACGTAAATATAACGGTAGTGAAATAACAAAAGTAGCCCTAGAATGAGTAACAGAAGTGAAATGACAAAGGTAGCCATGTAGTCTAGTAACCAAACGCAGGCATTTTGTGAAATCAGCGTCTTTGTCTTCAATACATGGGTTGCAAATTTTCAGTCCCTAATCCTTGCTGCTGCTTCAACTCCTTTGAATTTACTGGTAACATCAACGAGCAAGGACGTCCAAGCTTTCTCTTTTATTCCTTTCCTCTGTTTGTTAGACACAGATGTTAAAGTTGTTAGCTTTGATTTTTTTTTTCTTAAATAATTGTAGTTCGTGCATTAGACTTTCTACTTGTTAATTTGCTTTGTGCTTCAAATATTTATTTAGGGCAGCACCGACAGGTAGTTTGCTGCAGGTTAAGGTTAAGACGTCAATTTCAGTGTTTCAAGCCATTAAAAGAATAAAGAGATGATAGGCAGGGTTTGTGCTTAAATGGCATATTTATTTCAATGCTAATGATTGGTTGCCTGGAAAATGTGGTATAGGGAAACAAAACGTTTATGCTGTTTTCTTTTACTCATCTAGAACATCTAAATTTCAAGTCTACATCCTTAGCTGTGGAAGGTATTATCTAATTGTCTTTATTTCCTATTTTCTGCCAATTTATCCTGCATTTCTCTGCTTCTCTGCTCTCAAATTCAAATGTTTGCAGTTGTTAGTATATTTGATTCTCTTGTGTGTTTAATTTGCAGGTAATGTGATTTTAGTTATATACCAATAGATTCATATACACACATGATGGATATAGTTGAAAACATACTTGATATTCCCGTGCAAAATCCTTCTGAAGAAGAATTCGCTTCTGCTGATTTGACTTGGACCAAGTATGGCACAGCTGAGCGCTATGATGATGTAGCACTTATTCCTTATGAACGAGTTGATACTTTTATAATTGGCGAATGCTCTAATGTAGAATGCCCAACACGTTTCCATATTGAGAGGGGAAGGAAACGATCGAGAGGCAGCTTGAAGGAGTACAAGAATGACGAGTATTTGGAATATAAGCTGTAAGTTTCTGGTGTACTCAAAATCTGTTGCAGAATTATAAAGTATCTGTTGCATTGCATAGTGACATGCTTGCTTCTAAATATTTGTTTTATTTTATCCTACAGTGGTACACTCAAAATAGTGACCTTCAATGAAAAATATAGCTAAAATTGTTGCCTCCTAAGAGGGGGAAGAAAATTCATTCTTCTTCTTGTTTTACTTGACATAGCCATCTGGCCATCTTATTGATTCTGAGTCTATGTTACATCATAAGGTACTATGATGATTTAAAACCTCTAGTTCTCAAATTGAATAGATGAATCCTTGCCATGCCTTTACAAATCCATTTTTAATGTTGGAAGATTTAGTTTGCTATCTAACATGTGATCAGGATAATTTTGTTGGCATTTTATTTCTTTGCTTAAACTAAATGATTATTTATTTATTTTTGTGAAAAACTAGATTAAGTTCTCATGTTAATTTTCGTGTAATTTGTAAGGTATTGGTGTTCGTTTGGCCCTGAAAATTATGGAGAAGGTGGAAGTATATTACCTAGTCGAAGATATCGACTAAACACCCGAAACCGTGCTGCTAGGCCTCAATCCATGCGTGGCTGTACGTGCCATTTTGTTGTGAAACGGCTCTATGCTCGTCCTTCTGTTGCACTTATCATATATAATGAAAGGCGTCATGTAAACAAGTCTGGTTTTGTCTGCCACGGACCGCTTGATAGAGATGCCATTGGGCCTGGAGCCAAGAAAATTCCATATATCTGTAACGAAATTCAGCAGCAAACAATGTCTATGATCTATCTTGGAATTCCTGAGGAGAATGTGTTGGAGAAACACATCGAGGGGATTCAGCGATACTGTGGTTCTAATGCAAGGGTTGATAGCCTTGCTTCACAATATGTTCAAAAACTTGGGATGATTATCAAACGGTCCACGCATGAGCTGGATCTAGACGATCAATCTAGCATCAGGATGTGGGTTGAACGGAATAAGAAATCTATTTTCTTTTATCAAGATACTTCTGAAGATAATCCTTTTATTTTGGGGATTCAAACAGAATGGCAATTGCAACAAATGATCCGATTTGGACATCGCAGTCTCGTTGCAGCTGATTCAACTTTTGGCATTAAAAGACTCAAGGTAATATGTCTTTTGTACCCAATTTTAAGTATCTTTGAAGAACTTGTCGGATAGTTGATTAATAACTGAGTTATTGACAGTATCCATTGTGCACACTTCTTGTGTTTGATTCAAGACAACATGCGCTCCCTATTGCATGGGTCATTACACGTAGCTTTGCAAAGCCAGATGTTTCTAAGTGGATGAAGGCTCTACTCAGTCGAGCTTCTAGTGTAGAGCCTGGATGGAAGATCAGTGGATTTTTGATTGATGATGCTGCAGCAGAGATTGATCCCATAAGGTAAGATATTCTTCCACTAAAATTTAGTTCAACATTAAAAATGCAGTCATAAAGTATGGTAGTCTCATGCTTTAGATTGATTGGATGTACAGGGACATATTTGGTTGCCCCATACTGTTTTCTTTCTGGCGGGTTCGTAGATCATGGCTGAGAAATATCGTTAAAAAATGTGGTAACATAGAAGTTCAGCGTGAGATTTTCAAACGTCTGGGAAAAATAGTATATGGCATTTGGGAGGGAGTTGATACCTTGGCTGCATTGGAAGAACTAACTCGTGATTTTGTTGATCAGACTGCATTCATACAATATTTAAAAGCCTCTTGGGTGCCTAAGATTGGTTAGATCATTCTCTCTCTTTATGTCTCTTTCACAGACGTCACATACATGCACCTTTAAAGGCATTCATGCATACTCCCTTATGCATCTATTTAAGAATGATGTGGAATTAGACCGACTTTTTTACCTCTTATAATTTTATTATCTGGTCCATTTTCAACAGAAATGTGGCTTTCAACAATTAGAGGTCTTCCTCTTGCAAGCCAAGAGGCATCTGGTGCCATAGAAGCCTATCATGTGAAGCTGAAAGCCAAATTATTTGATGATTCACATCTTGGTGCGCTACAGAGAGTTGATTGGTTAGTGCACAAGCTGACAACTGAGTTGCATTCAAGCTACTGGCTAGATCGGTATGCAGATGAAAGTGATTCTTTTCAAAATGTTAAGGAGGAATATGTTGCTTCTACATCATGGCATAGGGCCCTGCAAATTCCTGATTCTGCTGTTACCTTGGATGATAAGGATCAGCTCTTTGCCAAGGTGTCCAGTCAAAAAGACAGCAATCTAATGCATATAGTGTGGAATCCTGGATCAGAGTTTGCCTTTTGTGATTGCTCATGGTCTTTGCAGGGTAACCTTTGCAAGCATGTCATCAAGGTTAATATGATCTGTGAAAATCGTCAAGGCTATCAGTGTTCTATGTCTTTCCGGTCCTTCAAAGAGATACTGACAAATATCTGGAAAAAACATTCAGATGATTCGGTCAATCTGGATTTGTCAATGGCCTGGACACAGCAGATGCTCAACCAAATTAAACAACTGGTTGAGCTGAATAGTTCAGACAATATTAGTACTGTGGTAAATAATATGCCATTGAAATGGTTTTCTAAGAAAGGCAGAACATCCGTTGGCATACCTTCATCACTTCAGGCTCTTCCATCTGCTTCCATGAGCAATACAAAGATAGTTGCTGCAAGGCAAAAGAATCGAAAACGTAAAAGATTGTCAAGATTAAGATGGTAACATTTGTTGGCAGGTAAGATTTCTTCATAGAGATCTCTGACCGTTTCTACTCATTATTCTCCTCAGAGCTTCAAACAATGCAAGGATTATTAAGATATTGAAATTTATTAATGTTTATTTCATTATCTAATTCCTTAAGCAATGTACATATTCTTCTTAGGGGGTTAGAGAGCTTAAATTTTGATTAGAAAGAGCACATTATGTTGAAAGTCCACATTTGAATTAATGTTGATCAAACATATAGGTTTATACATTTTGTTAATTGGAATGGAGCAGAAAAGTGAAAAGAATATGATGAAATTCTGTTAGAGGTGTTCTAGAAAATCTGCTCTCTTTGATAGGGGTGCGAGGGAATAAAAGCAGCAATAGAGTAAGCTGTTTAGAGTTACTAGCTCGTTTTCATAATATTTTTCACATTTGAAATTTCACGTCCTTTGAGAAAATCATTAATTTTGTCTAAGTTGCAATAAATTATTGAGTAAATTGACTATATTACTTTTAATTTAATACTAATTCTTTAAGAAAATTATTAAATTGAAGTAGTAATTATTGGTGATATATAAAGGGTAAACATGAAAAAAAATATTTATTACTTCTTGAAATCACAAATGTGACAGGTATTTTGAAATAAGTTATTTTCTCAAATGTAATAAGTATTATGGTATTACTTCTTGAAATCACAAATGTGACAGGTATTTTGAAATAAGTTATTTTCTCAAATGTAATAAGTATTATGGAATGGAATGATTAGTCTAATAATTCGATCCTTTATTTGTATGAAAATTCTATTTCTCTATAATATTTATAAGGTGCCAAAAAGAATCTTGAAAATTGGAAAATTGGGGAATGGGAAAGAGAATTTAAATTATGTGGAAATGAGATACTCCCCCGTAATTAATTTTTCTAGATTATAATAAAACTAAAAGTTATAACTAAATTATTCTTTGTTTCAAAATTAATAGCTATTTGTGAAAATATTTATTTATTGTATCTAATGTAAATAATGGTAACATTAAAAAAAAATATCATTTATTACTCTTTAAAATATTCGAAATCACTTTTATTTTGGGACAAAATAATCATTCAAAAAACGATTTATATTTTAAAGCAAAGGAAGTATTAAAGGGAGTATTATTTCATTTGTTAGTAACTGCGAGGAAAATAAATCCATAAGAAAGTTTATATATATACCTTAATATCCGTCTAGAATCTTATTGCTAGAGATGTGAGTTATATTATCGGAGTTTCGGCCGTAGACATAACAAGATATTTTCCGCTTTGGGCCGAATCTATTTAGGTCCGTACGGATTTATTTTTGGGCTAGAACCAATTTATAGTCCAAAAGGCTTCTTGTTAGTCTGAAGCTTGTCATTCTTTATGTATTTTATTTTCATTTTGTGCTTAGCCAATTTGAAATTCACCTAAGATGTCACAATGATGCGTTTATGATTAGAATTATAACCTTAACATATATACAATTATAATAATTAAGAAGTTATTTTTTATTAAATTATTAACAATTTGATTATATCATCAATCTAAAAAATTACAGTAATTAAAATTCTCCATCCTTAGAACATAGATAATGTAAGACAAAATATGTAATTAAAAAATTTATACTGAATCCAAGCGTACTTGGATTTTTTTTTTTTTTGATAAGTAACAGAAATTTATTTTAATAAATTATTAATTAACATATTTATTTCAAAAATAAATTTAATGTGCAACATTACTTGTTTAGACTAATGGAATTTTTTAAAATTTTTATATTTTAAATATTTCAGAGTCAGATAAAGATTTAAAAAATGGTAAAAATATTTTTTTATTTATAATTTCAGCATTAATTGCAATTGGAAGTGCTATTGTTACAAAATATTTAATTAAAGTAAAATTGAAAAAAAATATCAAAATACAGTAAAATTACAAAATCTATAAAATTCGAGTTTAATGTATTAGATCTTAAAAAAATTATTAGAAGAGTTTTAGTTAAAACTCATGAAGATCAAATATAAAAATACGGAAAACCTAGGATTTTGATAATATAACAAGTACATTAAAATAAATTGAGCCCTTGAGTTATATTCAAATTAACGCATGAAGACATTTATTTCTAAAACTAACTATTAACACTTTAATCCTTCTACTCAAAACAGATGAACCAAAATGCCAAAGAAAATTATAAGAAAAGTATAAATTAGAGGCAACATAATTAGTTTGACTATAATTTAAAAATCAATTTTACAGTCAATTGACATATGTTAACAAAACAATAAATTGTAGGCATCATAGTTAATTTTTAAAAATAGATGTCCTCATATATTAATTTAATTGTAACTCAAAGATCAATTTATTATTTGAAAAGAATTATTATTTTATCTCTGTATTTTGCTAAAATCAACTAAAATATCAATGTATTTAATGATTATTTAATCCCTATTTGTCAAAATTAATAAAGCAAACGATAGAGATTTTAAATATAAAGAAAAATTAGTAATTTCCCCAAAAGACAAGAAGCTCAAATGTTGGGCTTCTAATTTTACCATTCCAATGGCCCATGTAAAAGAACGTATCAACCCATAGCTCCTCCACTCCACCGAATCACCGATTGAAAAAGGATTTTTTTTTTTTTTTTAAAAAAAAAAGAGAAATCAGAAAGGATTCCTTTTTCCTATGGAAAAAACAATAAATCTTTTTTGTATCTTATCCTAAATTTTACACACGAAAAATTCTCTCTAAAAGACTTGCAATCTCCATTGCTTTCCTTTTAAGCAACAAAACTCGCTAGTTATAACGTCCAAGTTTTTTTCTCCATTCAAATACTACACCAAAACCACACTTTCCTTTTACGCTATTCAGATCCCAAACACATCTCACTCCTTCTCCCCCTCTCACTATATATATATATAAAACTATAAGTTCTTGAAATCCAAAATCAGAGATCCAAGAAACAAACACTCTTGTTGAAATCTTAAGAAGAAGAAGAAGAGGAAGAAGATGTGCTGTGGAGGTAGAATTTGCATGCTGTGCACGTGCCTGATATTGGTTGTGATCGTGATCGGGTTGCTGTTCGGATTTGGGGTTTTCAAGAATGGATTTCACAAGGTGAAAGATACAATTCATGTGGGTATAGGTGACGATCTGTCTTCTTATGGGACTATGGGAAGGCCTTTCTTGGGTTATGTACCTCCTCCTGGCCCTTTTTAGGGATTCCCTAATCCTTTGATTTTTCTTTTTCTTTCTTTTTTTTTTTTTTTTTTTTTTTTATTTGCTTTTTTTTTTTTTTTTTTTTTTTTTTTTTTTTTTTTTTTTTTAAATTTTTACTTTTCAGTATTAGTTAGGGTTTGTGATTGTTTGTTGGAAGTTATTCTACATGTGTTTATTTGTTCATTTGATTGATTCTAGTTAATTAATGTTTCTTTTATTATTTTTTGTAGATGAAACTTCTTTTCAAACTGATTTTGAATATATATATATACTTTGTAAGAATATATAATAAAATATTGGCGTGGCAAGCATAGGTTGCAAGAGAGTAAAATCAACCATAAAAATTTTCAACTCTCAACAAGAAGTTCATTAAAATATATAGATAAATTATAAAGTATAAATGAATGAAGTAAAAATTTCATTTTTTAAACATAATTTTAAGTTGGAATGTATCAAGTTCGAGTTCGATTATTGAACTTCAAATGGAGATGGAATAAGTTCGAGTTTGATTTTTGAAATTTAAATTAAGATATATTTTATATGGTGGCAGTGAAGAATATGTAAGTCCACCCAATTTGTTACATAGTTGCCTTGCAAGCACAAAAATGAAGGAAGACATTTCACCTATTTGTTTCTTACCATTAAAGATAATTGACACCCTTAAAATGACTTCACCTTCACTGCTTAGGCACTGTTTGGTGGTTCAGCTATTTAGCTCAAAATTTCGTTGATGGGTCGATTATTAGCCCAAAAGATAATTAATTATTGCTTTTCAAATTTTTTTTTTTTTATTTTGAATTCACTGAAGGTGAAATATTATGACAAGTAAAAATTGTCTCTGTTAATATTAAAAAAAATAATAATTTGAGGTATATAAAATAGTAAAGAAATAACACGTTTCCTTCCAATTTTCATTGTCATGATAGAAACTTTCAATCTTAATGGATAAGATATGGCAACCGTCAAATACTCGAAATAAGGCTTTCCATGCGTTTATTACAATCTATACAGAGAAGTTTATGTTATCTTTTCCAAAAAAACAAAAAGTTTATGTTAAATAATAGTAAAGTGTAAACTTTCTAATTGCCAAATATTAAAAGAGCCATTGTTTTATATTTTCATATAATGTCTTTATCAAGTTACATTCAATCATGATACTATTATTAAATTAATTTAAAATTATATTAAATATACATATAACCCAAGTTGTGCAAATTGAATAAATTGTTATTAGAACTTTGGTCAACTTTAGTTGAATCCATTATATGTTCTGCATTATATATTTAATTTTAACACAATTAATTAAACATTAAGATAATATCATTAGATTAAATTAAAATTTATATAATATATAAAAGGAGAATAAGATATATATTAATTATATATCAACGTGACTTTTCATTTCTCAAGATGAATATTAAAAAATAGGTGTTAAATATATATATATATTATTAAAAATATGACTTTTCCTTTTATACAAAAATAATCTCAAATTTTTGCGAAAATTATCTAAGATAAGATGAGAATGAGAAATGACAATGTTATAAATCTTACTATCATTTGCAAGAATAGTGTGTTTGCATTTTTTGATACATGTTATACCATATATGACCTTTGCTATTACATACTTTGGTGAAATATTTCGCATGAGATTCAATTTTGTAATGCATTTCATGATCATTTTATTAAACAATTTTATTATTTTTAAATGATGTTATAAAAGATTATACTTTGGTGAAAGTTTGAGTAATAACTACTTACTCCATTAGTGAAAATATTTAAAATGCAAAAAATTCTGAACTTTTAAGAAAAAATAAATAATATATTTAAAAGAAGGAACCAATATACTTTTGTCAAAAATACATAAGAATACAGTGATATAACTTTTATATATATAGCATTTTTAAGAAAAATTAAAGTGTTTCTTGAAAGTGAACAATTTAAAATTAAGAAAAAGTGCATTACTGCACCATTTAAAAAAAAATAAACGGAAACACTAATAAAACTATACAAATAACCAAATCAAACATTAAAAATATTAATACACTAATAAAGCGTTGAAATGTTTTTGTAACTTCACAAATTTGAAGCCATTAATACACATAAACGTTGGTTATTGAACTTTATCATTTTTTAGAAACTAATAATTAATAATAATCACTTAAAAGCCATTAATACATTAAATAACCAAATCAAACAAAACCAAAAACACTTCAAAACAAATCCAAAACAAAATAATACATTAAATAATCAAATCAAACCAAATCAAAAATTCAAAATAAATCCAAACCAAAATAATACATTAAATAATCAAATCAAACTAAATCAAAAACACTAACTAAAAAAATCCAAACCAAACCAATATATTAATACATTGAATAATCAAACCAGAAACACTAATCTAAATAAATTCAAATCAAACCAAATCAAACCAATACATTAAATAATCAAATCAAACTATGCCAAGTGGAAGTCTAATTGGAGGAATATGCCACGTGTTAACTTTCTAGGAAAAAAACGCTTGTTTTATATAAAACCAATTCAAAACCCAATACATTAAATAATCAAATCAAACTATGCAAGTGGAAAGTCTATATTCGGAGAATATGCCCACGTGTTAACTTTCTAGGAAAAAAAAACGCTTGTTTTATATATATATATATATATATATATATATAATATATATTGATGATTAGAGAGATTGATGATTAGAGAGCATTCCACATTAAAAATTTCTACAATTTTCTAAAATCATATTTATTAATTAATCATATTTAATCAAATTAATCATATAAAATAAAGGGTAATTTAATCAAATTAATAATATGACATAATGGATAATTTAGTCAAATTAATCAACAGTTTATTATAATTTAGAAAAATTCATTACTCCTTTAATTACCATAACAAAACTCAAATTACTTATATAATTAACTCAACCCTTTTATTAATTCTTTAAATAATTAAAACTTAAAAACCAATATATATTGGCCAAAATTAAAAAAAAAAAAAATATATTTCCTTGATTTTCTGAAGTGACAAAGCTAAAATTACGCCAAATTTAGTGAAACGAAATGTCATACATACACAAGCCATTTAAAGAAACATAAACAGTTTTTCGTGGAATGCCAAATGATATTGGAAATTTAGACTTGATAATAAGAAAAGTTTGAACAAAAAGCATTTTCCCTGTAGATAATAACTATTCAAAATAAGCAATCAATGCATGAAGACCAAAGAGCCTTTGGGAATCACTAGTTTCGGTTATGATGATGCTCCCTTTATAATCATTTGTATCAGCATCTTCTCCACAGGCATCCATAACACAATAATTTTTTACAAATGAAAATGTGGAACTAGCATATGAGCTCACAACAAAATTGATTTGATGTACAGTTGAATTTAATTGCCACAAGGCTCAACACCAATCGACAGCGTACCTGTAAACTGACAAAGGGAAAATTTTTCTCTAGACATAGCCGTTTGGTTTCTCTCCACTCTTCTCCGATCTCTTCTGCAAGTCCGCATCATAATGTTGCATGGCGGCCTCTAGAGCCTGCACCAGTGTTCTCTGCCCGTGAGTTTTGACCATTTGAATGATAAAAGTGCAAAAACCCAGAAAATTCGTAAGAGCAGCAAAATAGGTTCGAAAGCATACAACAAACCAATGGTTAAAATAACCTGATCAAACTTGAATTTTGATTAACTCATTTTAGATATTTTTACCCTGTCATACATGTTTGGAACCGTGACATACATGTTTGGAACCGATTCCATTTTGAGAGAGTTGAAAAAGCACTCTCGTTGAAAAGGTTCTATACATCTGTCCTTTTTCAACACATTTCTTTAGACAAAAACTCTGTTGTTTCCTCTTTTCAGATGGTAAATATTTATCAGACCACAACAATACAGAAACCATTGGTATAGAAAGAATTGCAGCATCACTACTAAAAGTAGCATGCCATCATACAAAATATTGAACCGACTTTTCATCACAACAGGATACACTAAGAATGAAGTTGCAAAAAAAAAAAAAAAAAAAAAAAAAAAAAAAAACATCATCTCATAAGTTGGTGACTTTGTGCTAGTTCCGTACAACATTGATTCAAAGATATATATAATGTCTACTCTGATTCCAAGAATCAACCAATTTAGTTAACTAGACATTATCTTGACAATTGTAACTACCAAAAATCAGAGCATTGCAAATTTAAAGTTGAATTGAACTTGGAAAGAAAAATGGACCTGTTGCATTGGACGTATAAGGAGTGTAAGTTGATTTCGAAGGTCTGACTGCACGGATTCCTTCATCCTCTGGAATAAAATAAAGGGGGAAATTTTGAGAAAGCTAAAATGCAATTGTGAAAGATGTTTAAATGCCATGGAATGGGACACAGGTGAGATATGGCACTTTCATCCTTGAGCAGGAGCAAGTAGAACAATTTTCGAACACAATGCTATCAATAATAGGTAAAATTTAATCACTATCCTAACAGACATTCAAAGCAATAGAAAGATATCCAATGATTCCTGCCATGATGAACAAATCAGGATGCAATCTACAACTATCGCTTCGCAAAAAGTTAATAGTTATACATTGCGTTGATGCATGAACAACAAAGCCAATACCACATGGTAAAGATGTACGTGCCTGTAAATCCTCATGGTAAAAATTGTTAGGGACAAGAGTACTAGAGTAGTCAACAGTATTTCTTATGCAATGCCAATGCATAGTGTTAAGGAAAGTCAACAGTATTCCTAAATAGTTTAGGAATCACTCGTATATAAGCTTGTATCTCTCATTGATGGATACAAACTATTTTCTCAATTCTAATAACATGGTAGCAGAGCAATCTGAGTTTCGATAAAAGTTCTGCGTTTTTTTTTTTTCTCCCTTTTCTGGGCTTCCCATGGCTACTGTCAGTTGGTAACATTAAAGGGCGAGTTTCTTGTCTCACTGCCCCCCTAAGAAGGATCTCTAGCCGATCAGCGTCTCCCCAGAATCCGGTTTCCGAATTCCCTGCAAGTGGCCTCCAGGGTCACCTCTTTCTTCCTGCTCCGATCAGCGGTCTTCTGCTCACCAGTTCCTCTCTCTGGCATCGACTTGAAGAGTAGAGCGCAACCCAGTGAGTTGCATATTGTATCTTGGGCATCTGTGGTGGGTTCAATTGCTGGGCCCCTACTGTAGTGTTGCCAAGTTATACTCTATTTCTGATTTTTCTTATATTTGTGGAGAACATCAGTTTTTGTTTGCTGTGAAATTTTTTGGATAAATTTTGGTGATTTTCCAGTGATTCCTTGCTTTGGTATTTTCAAATTGAGAATGTTTCTATTTAAACATCATGGGGACTCCCAAATGGAAGGTTGTTATCACTGATGTGGTTCCAATAATGACTAAGATCACAGAAAACAAACTTAATAGCTCTAATTATTTGGATAGGAACAAGAGTATTAAGATTTATTTGCAAAGCATTGCCAAATATGACCAGCTTACTAATGATCCACCAACTGATGATACAAGATAGAAATGGTTGAAGGAAGAAGCTTGGTTGTTCTTGCAAATAAAGAATTCCATTGACAATGAGGTAATAAGTCTAATCAATCATTGTGAATTTGTTGAAGAACTCAGAGACTATCTGGATTTTTATATTCTGAGAAAGGCAATATCTCTAGAATCTATGATGTTTGCAAAGCATTAAATTGCTCAGAAAAGCAAGATAGACCTCTTACTACCTATTTTAAGGATCTCAAACAGATATATGAGGAACTTAATGTCTTGTTGCCCTTTAGTATCGATATAAAAGTGCAACAAAGCTCAACGTGAACAAATGGCTACTATGAGTTTTCTTGCTGGTTTACCTCCAGACAAGAGGCGAAGCTAGGGCTTAAAGTTAGGGAGTAAAATGGTGAAGACATGTTGCATTTTGATGAGTGACTTTGTGGGGGAGGGGGTGGGTTTTGCTGACCCTCTCATCGATGTAGCTTCGCCAATGCCTCCAGAGTTTGACACCACTAGATCACAAGTTCTTTCTAGTACTGATATTTTTTCTTTGCAAGAAAGATTTACCAGATTACTTCTTACGGAAACCCGTCATTCTTCACATTCTGTTGCAAATAGTGTTCTTGTGAGTCGCGGAAGGCAAGGAAATAGGGGAGCAACCATAATTCTGCACACAGAGGAGGATCTATTGCTCGCAATGTTATAGCCAGTAATTGAGATCGAAATGGAGTTGTTTGCTATTATTGTCATGAACTTGGTCACACAAAGCGCACTTGTTGGAAACTCCAAAATAAACCTCCGCCACATCCAAAGGCAAATGTAGCCACTCAAGATCTTATCATAGCTTCACCACCTGGGTAAACTGTTATAGTTTCTGCAGAAGAATTTGCAAAGTTTTCTCAGTATTAGACATCCTTAAAGTCTGGCAATTCCTCTTTTGCTGCTATTGTTGATTCAGATAAACTTATTCCATGTCTTGTAGCTTTCTCGTCGAAATGGCTCAATGATTATGCCTGTACACATCATATGACAGGTAATCCTAGTATTTTTTTTGTTTTGAGTTTAATTTCATCTCTTTCTCTATAACTTTAGCTAATGGGTCTCATTCTTCTGTTACGGGTACTGTATCTGCTAATCATACTTCTTCTCTTCCCTTATCCTCTATTTCGTGTCCACCTAAGTTTCCCTTCAATTTACTATTTGTTAGCAAAATTACTCAAATATTAAATTGTTGTGTAAACTTTTATCCTACAATTGTGTATTTCAAGATCTTATGACAAAGCAGATTATTGGTGGAGGTCATGAGTCTGGTGGTCTCTATCTACTTGATGAACAAGTATTGTTGTCTCTTGCTTGTGCTGGTGCTCTATCTTGAATTAATTAATTCTGATGTTTCGGGTCCTTGTTTTATTACCTCCACATATGGCGTTCGATATTGCTACTTTTGTCAATGATCATTCTCAAGTTACTTAGTTATATTTAACGAAAAATCGATTTGAACTACTTTCTATCTTTTGTGCTGAAATAAGAACATAATTTAATGTTTAAGTACGAACATTACACAGTGGCAATGCTAAAGAATACTTTCCAGAAATGTTTCAAAGTTATATGACAAAAAATTGGATTTTGCATCAATTCTCATATCCTCATGTGTTGATATACCTTCTCAAAATGGGGTTGCTGAAAGAAAAAACCGTCACCTCCTTGAGATAGCTCGAGCACTTCTTTTCCGAATGAAAGTTCCTTACCTTTTTGGGCCGGTGTTGTCTCCACTGCTTGTTTTTTAATTAATCGTATCCTTCATGTGCTCGTCAAGGTGATATTCCTTATACTGCTATTTTTCTGTCTAAATCCATGTTTCCTATTGGAACTCATATTTTTGAATGTACTTGTTTTGTTCATGATGATCTACCTCGTATTACAAAACTCGACACTAAATCTCTTAAAAGTGTCTTTTTAGGATATTCTAGACTTCAAAAGGGTTACATGTGCTTTTCTCCAACTATTAATTATTCTCTTGTATCTATTGATATTACTTTCTTTGAGTCTACTCCTTTCTCTCCTATGAAAGTCAAGGAGAGGAGGACAATCTTTTGGTTTGTACTGGCTCTCAACCTATTAATTCACTCAATCTTTCTATGGAACCTCCAGTTGCACCAGCACCAGCACAAACACCAGCACCTACTAAACCTCCTCCAATTATTCATCTTTGTTCTCAAAGGTTAGACACTCCTCGACTCCTGCCAGATGCCAAACACTTCGTCATTAGATCCAGTCCCTAACATTCTGGATCCTCCAGATCCTAGCATTGATCTTCCTATTGCTCCTAGAAAAGGTAAAGGTAAGTATACTTATCCTACTTCTTTTGTTTCTTATGGCCACATTTCTTCTTCTAGCTCTTTCATTGTGTCTTTAGATTTTGTTTCCCTTCCTAAAACTGTTCATGAAGCATTACCTCATCCTAGTTGGCGAGCTAATATGGAAGAAGAAATGGTGGCTTTGGATGTCAATGGTACTTAGGAATTGGTAACTTTGCCCACTGGGAAGACCGTCATCGGATGTAAATGGGTATTTGTTGTGAAAGTTCATCCTTATGGCTTTGTAACTCATCTCTTATAGCCAAAAAGTATGCTCAAACTTATGACGTTGATTATTCAATACTTTCTCTTCAGTGGCAAAACCTACTTTGGTTCGTAGCTTTATCTCTCTAGCAGCAACTTGTAACTGGCCTTTGTATTAGCTTGACATCAAGAATGTTTTTCTGCATGGTGATTTGCATGAGGAAGTTTATATGGAGCAACTACCTGGGTTTGTTGCTCAGGGGAGTAGGGGAATGTTTATCATCTTCGCATATCATTATATGGGTTAAAACAAAGTCCTCGTGCTTGCTTTGGTAGATTTAGTGCGGTAGTTCAAGCATTTGGAGTGCGGAAGAGTAAGTGTGATCATTCATCATTTAGTATTCTATAGAAATTCTAAGGATGGCATAATTCTGTTAGTTGTATATGTTGATGATATTGCTATCAGTGGTAGTGACACTGCAAGCATAGCATCCCTATAATCCTTTCTTCACTCCCAATTTTAGACAAAAGATTTGGGTTTGTTGAAATATTTCTTAGGTATCCAGGTAGTAAGGTGCAAGAAACGAATTCTTTTGTCCCAAAGAAAATATGTTTGCACCTTGTTCACAAAAACATGAAAAATAGGCGCTAAGCCGTGTAATAAACTCATGGCACCCAATTTACAACTCACAGAAGAGGATGGTAAATTGTTTAAATATCTTGAGAAGTACAGAAGACTAGTTGGTAAATTGAACTACTTTATAGTGACTCATCCCGATATTGCGTATTCAGTGAATGTTATAAGTCATTTCATGTCTAATCCAACAGTAAATCATTGGGGAGCCTTAGAACAAATCTTATGTTATTTAAAGGGAGCTCTAGGGTGAGGTCCATTAAATTCAAATCATGGACATTCTAATACTAAAGTGTTATTCAGATGTAGATTAGGCAGGATCTAAAGTTAATAAAAGATCTACAACTGGATATTGTGTCTTCGTTGGAGGAAATTTGGTCTTGTGGAGAAGTAAGAAACAAAACATGGTTTCTCAGTCCAATGTAGAATTAGAATACAGAGTGATGGCACAATCTGTGCGTCAGATAATATGGGTGTATCAACTGTTGAATGCATTTGGTCTTAAGTCTTCATTACCTGATAAATTTTGGTGTGATAATCAAGCTGCACTTCATATTACTTCTAATCTAGTGTTTCATGAACGCACCAAGCACATTAAGATTGATTATCATTTCATTCGCAGTAAAATTCAAGAAAAGCTTATCACTACAGGTCATGTTAAAACTAGAGACCAATTGGGAGAAATTTTCACAAAAGCTTTGAATGGTGCTCATATTTACTATATCTGTAACCAGTTGGGCATAATTAATATCTATGCTCCAACTTAAGGGAGATTGTTAAGGAAAGTCGATCTTTATTATGTACATAGCTTGATCTTAGGGATTTCTTCCTAGATAGTCTAGGATTTATGTTCCTAAATAGTTTAGGAATCACTTGTATATAACATTGTAACTCTCGTTGATGAATACACACAATTCTCTTTATTCTCATAACACAGAATTAAACTCAAATTAAGAGCTTAATTTAGTTTTCTTTTCTAAGATTTATCAAATTGCTCCTTCAATGGCAGATTATCTAATGCATGACAAAGGTTCGGAAGCTGAGAAACCAGTCTCATTGCTAAATTACCTGCAACTGTGAATCAATTTTTGACATTGCATCCTTCAGTCTGCTTACCTGCCAACAAGTGAAGCGAGGAAAATGGAATGTCAAAATGGCACAAGAAGCATCAGGCACATTAAATGAATTTCTGAACAAAGCAGTTTTACACTGCTGTAGTATTATATCCTATGTTCTTGGCCAGAAACCCTCTTTAGAATGACCTAACTTTGACACTTCTAAAACACCTAACATTTAATCAATCCGATTTCGGTAACATAAAAGCTTCTTCCACTTAAAATGGGAAAAAAGAGGTCAGCATTCAACTCGTCACCAATTACAAAAATTTTCAAGGCAATAAGCCAGACATAATTCTGAAATCTTCTTGGCCCTCATAAAAATAGAAGAAATTATATTTGATATCATGCTAGTCCCCAGTATCTTAATCATATATAGGTTTCCAGAGTTTCTAGAACAACTTCCTTTCTTTTTATGTTTTCTAACTCATAGTGAGAAAAGAATCACAGCAATTTACCTTAGCATAAAGATATGCAGTAGTTATTGGATATGATGACCAGTAATGTTTCAACAACTCCTCAACAGACATCCAGTGCTGGAGACAAGTTTCCTTATGAACATGAGATCACTGGGAACTAAACCAAAATCTAGCAGTAAAAGCAATAGTTTTAACAACACACAGAAAGATTATTCGGTTTGATGCAGAAATATGATTTAGTTTGGTGTGTTATCCAGTGCAAAAATGTACACTTCATCAAATAAACAAGACTTTTGGAAAGATCTTTTTCTTTTCTTTTCTTTTCTTTTCTTCTTTACAAAAAGATATATGCAAGGGGGAAAAAAAATAAAAGCGCAACTCACATGTAGCAGTTCATCCTTTATTGTGTTTGGAAACCTGTCCAAGACGCTCTCCCTAGGATTCTTTCCAATATTATACTTGGTACTCGAGATATTATGTGTCAGTACAGAGAGAACCTACATGATAAATTTGCATAATGTAGTCAGGCAACAATAATTTGCACACTTTATAGTTCATTTTGGGATATGAAGCGTGGAAACTCAATATACTTATTACCTTCATAGCAACTTCAGGTTTAACTACAGGATCATTCAATCCCACCACTTTAATTTCAGAAATGGAATCCCTCAAAGAACCATAAGCTTCCTTTGAGGTCAAGCTGCAGTTCACTGTTTCTGTTCCAACTGGTGTATCTCTTGATGTTTTAAGTGCAGTAACTTGTTGAGAATCAAAATAGTCCCGCGGATCCTGGTTTCAGAAAGACAATGTAATATGTTTTAAGAGCCACCATATGCAAGCACAAAAGTACAGAAAGACAAACCTTAATGCAAAGAGGTGCTAAAGGAAGATCATTCGATCCTTGAAGATCCTCAATTTCCATCATTTGGGAAATTCTACTCGATCTTTCCTTGTCACTCCCATCAGGTTCTCTATATAGCGTTTTATGCCCTACCAACAGTTAAGAACACAAGGCACTATTTATGGAAGCACATGTTAAAATGAAAAGTAAAATAAGTAAGTATGCACTATACTAACCCTGTTTTGACTGTGCAAGTGCCTCTGCTACAGTTTTTGTGTCTTTCAACTGCTCATCATCTATAAAATTTATAAATTAAAATAAGAATAAAAGGTTAAGTATCTAATATCAGATGTCTGTGCTGCCAAAAGGAATACACTTCAGCATATTCAACAAGAGACTTTCAAGAATATTTCATTACCTGTAAATTGATTAAAGAACACATATGCATGAAAAATAGTCTTACCTATGGCTTTTCCTTCAAGAACAACAGCAGCATGGCGGTTCAGGTCCTGTAACAAAGTCCTTCTGTATGGCTCATTCTGTAATTCTGCTATTTCCTTAATACCATCACGAACAATCCCATGATCCTGCAATTTCAAAATTGAAACCAAAATTAGAATAGATACGTGAAAAATTAGAAATGCAGCCAAGAGATTTAGACAAGCGTAGATGAAACAATGGAATGTTTCCACCAAAAACAACCAAAAAACAGTTTAACACAAAGGTTAAGTTTTTTCCTTTAAATCTATAAAGGTAGACTCTAGAATCTTAAAAATCAGAATATAGCATTAAAATAATAGAGAAAGATATTCTCCCTAAGCCGGTAATATTGAAGAACGATCAATTACGTCTCAATTTGCAAACTCAAGATATGTCATCAAAGAAAAGGTAAACAGTAAGCAAGTAACTCATCAAACAATTTGTCAGAAGCATAAGGTAATGTTACCTTATAGACTTACTAATGCCTGTGCGTGATATATATTTTTTTTTTTTGTTTAATTCTGGAATAATTAATAATACCTACCAAAGTTACATCTAACACAGTTTCATCATTACTATTTTGAACTTAGGGAATTTAGTCATAATTCTAACATCAATGAAAACATAAATTTAAGGGATTAAAGTGTTGTATAATTTAACAGTTATCATAGAAGAGTGAAATAAAATCTCAATAGTTAAATGTCAAAAGACTAAAGTGTAATTTTAGAACACACACACACACATATTTGGTTGTACTCAAAAAAAAAAAAAAAGAACAAAGAAATAAAAGAAGTGGGTGACACGCACCCTATCCTATAAGGAACAGAGCCCTACCCCTCAAATTCACAAGAACAGAGCCTCAAAGGGAACAAAAGCACACTTATATAATGTAAAAAGTCTTGCTAGCCCTCTTACAGTTCCTACATCAAGTTCTTTATGTCAATACTTCTTTGCAAGTCCGCCAGTCACTCGCTTCAACATAAAACTCTCAACCTCTTTCATACATACATCAATACATCAAGGATTGACCACAAATGAGTCATAAAGATATCCTTGAAACTTCAATGTAAAGAATATCATAAATGAACATTACAGAAATCCTTTACCACTGAAAACAAAGGAACAGAGCCCTACCCCTCAAATTCACAAGTACAGAGCCTCAAAGGGAACAAAAGCACACTCATATAATGTAAAAAGTCTTGCTAGCCCTCTTACAGTTCCTACATCAAGTTCTTTATGTCAATACTTCTTTGCAAGTCCGCCAGTCACTCGCTTCAACATAAAACTCTCAACCTCTTTCCATACATACATCAATACATCAAGGATTGACCACAAATGAGTCATAAAGATATCATTGAAACTACAATGTAAAGAATATCATAAATGAACATTAAAGAAATCCTTTACCACTGAAAACAAAGGATTGCATTGGCAAACTTACTGGCAAATGTGTATAATCATCCCCTAGGTCAGCTTCCATATCTAGAGTTGGATCAACACATCTGATCTGGAACAAGGAAAAATGCAAATATGAACTCATTCAAGAAAATCTCAAACTGGAATTAGTAAGAGAGAAGGCAGAGAGAAAAGTAAAAGGAAAAAACAAGAACTCCAAAATAACAGTCCAAGAAAAAGCACCTTCCGCCGAGTTTCCCTCGCCAAAATATCATCAGGTTTCAGAAAAAGGGCAAGTTCCTCATCTTCAGCAGCTTCTGCTGCTGCAGCATGAGCATTTTTCGAGTGATTGAGGTATTCGGCTCTACAATATTTGGTCCAGAAATCCCTATCCGTCATCTGAAGTTCAAAAAGAAGATATATACTCAAAGAAGTTCACAAAAGCTAAAACATGAATGAACAACCACTGAAAACATCATTTACATCAGAAAAAGAACTATTAATGACATGAAAAACAGTGTTGAAATTTTGAAAAGTACCCTGTTGACTTTACCTTGTTGGGAACTAAACTCAAGTACGCTTGGTGAACAGCTGGTTTCTCTGCAAAAATCTGAAAGAAAATTTATCCATAAACACAATGGAACATGCAGGTAACAAACTCATATGCTGTATAGGTACCTTCTATCATCTGGAAAAAATCAACGATCAATATCATAGACATATTTTGTGAACAGTAACATGCATAAAAAGCCAGCATGATGCATCGAAATATAATAATAGACACAAGTGCTACAAGGGTATACTAGGTACAGGTGGAAGCCAGCATGACAATAGTACAGAAGCAACACAAGACAGATGCAATAATATAACTAGAAAAAATTGGAAACAGAAAGTAAAACCATAAAAACAATATGAATATACATGTCAGATGTTAAAACTAACAACTACTACAGGCAAATGAATAAATGATACAAGGGAACATTAAACCACCGAGCATTTAGACCTAACCAATATTATTTAGGCATGTTTAATATTTAGATTGTAGAGAACACAGTAAAGTTCTCTGCCAATAATCAACATCGAGCAATGTGATGCCACACAGTAAATTAATTACAGTTAACAGCGAAAAGAAAAAAGCAAATACTAAATGGACCAACACTGGGGCAAAAAGCCCCAGGGATTGGTATGGGAAGATCACATACCTCGCATACAATCTCTGGTGTCAAATTAAAGGTAACCTTGTTTGTCTGGAAATACAACAAACTTGCAATCGTAAGCCTTATAGTAAAGAAGTGATCAAAAGACAAAAAGATGAAAATATATTAGAATCTTAATAATATGTTTTGAATTTTTATCTGTACCAGCCAATTATCATGTGTATAAATATGATAAAGTATTCATAAGTGATGATGTGATTATTTATTTCAATGGACACTGGAGCAAAAATGTTGGGACATGTACAACAAAAAAAAAAACATTACACTTATATGATAGAACTAATAAGTTAGAGAGAATTTGATTAGAGAGCCACACATCAAAATATAAAGTAAAATAGTTATTCAATGTTCTTGAGAGATGATAATCAGTTTCCTAATTAAGTAGTCCCAAATGTCATGTAACATTCTGCAATCATATACCACCTAGAGAATGCCCACGGTTCTTAGGATTACAAGTTCAATAAAAACATAATTAGGAAATCTCACAGCTAATAGAAACTAAAGGCATTTTAGAATTATAGTAATATATAAAAGTCCCCTTTTGTCTGACATTTAATGACAAGAAAGGTTTTATGGACATCTCTACTTACATATATACTGTAGGTCATACTGTATAGGCTAGATTTAATCTGTTTGCTCATCAAAATGAGAAGGGAGGGGATAAAAGAAGCTCAACAGTAAAGGAAAAAATGATGGAACAAAAGACATGAGGCCATATCCACAGACAAAGAAAACACACACACACACACACACACACATCCATACACAGAGAGAGAGGTCGATCTTATACCCGCCCATCAATCAGTGGCTTTGAATCAGAAAGCATAGCACTTTTAAGACCCACCCGTTGCTTTGATTTTTTGCTGAAGTCCGCATTTAGCAACTTCTGTAATCAGAATAACATAGAAAAAATTGTAACCAAATTCAACTTCTCGTTCATTTTGAACATAACTACTATTAGGCAAATGGTTTCCATTGGAGAAGCAAATTCTAAGACTATTAAAATGCAGGATCATAAAAAGCAACATAAGCAAATGCTCTAAAAACCAACCTTTCTTGTTGCCCAGAATTCAGTATCTGTCAATACACCATCACTCACAAACTGCTTATGAAGTTTCTGCAACTCACTGCAGAAAAGAAAAATTAGCAATGTTAAAAGGGATCTGAGAAAGAAAGTATCAACTTGCACAAAAATCATCTATTTAGCATTCCAGAACTAGTTGTAAAGGATCTCTAATTAAAGAATTGTGCCTAATACTATGTTATAGATTTGTAGTGTACAATCAAAATGAAATGGATTACAATTATTATTTCCATGTCAAAACAAAAATACTAGAAGTTATACTGGAGACCCAATATCCAGCAGTTTAAGAATCCTTCCTTCTTTATGATGAAGGTCTTCTGTATCCCCTATGTCCTTTGCAAAAATAAATCCTGCTTTTACCAAAACTCAATTCCCATCATGTTGATATGCATTGTTATAACTTTATTCTACACTTCCCGTTCTTATGTTATTTGTTAATACAATGTAATGTATTTTACCAAGTGCCAAGAATACAAAATGCAATTGATTAGATGGCACAACCACTGGCACCACCAAAGGAAGGATTCTAGTGCAAATACAACAGGTTCAACAATATACCTTGATCATAACAAAATCTTAAAATTTGCATTTCTAAAGGTGTTATTTTCCTATTAATTTTGTCAGCCTTTGTCAACTTTACAAGCTTTATTAGTAACTGTGAGCATAGTTTTAACAACAACATCAGTATTTGGAACAGCCACTTCGAAATCATTGTTCAATTGGCCTTTGTGGAGTATGAATATTTCACCCTTTACACTTTGGCCATCACATAAGCAGGCCCATGAAGACAATTGCAATTTAAAAACCTTGACAATGCAGGAGTATATCTCACAGATTTAAAATCCATGCAGTGTCTTTTTCATAATTGATTCTTACTGGATGGTAGTGTAATCACAGTTTACCCTTTGGCCACAACAGCCTAATAAGGCAAGCATCTCCATGAAAAGAACTGCAATTTGAAAAGCTGATTATGAAAACTCACAAATTTAAAATTTAATATGAAGCCTTCTTCAAGAACTGTTTTGCACTTGGTGCTAAAACATTCATAGGTTGCTGATTTGAAGAATCATTGACCATAAAAATACAGAAACATGCAAGTTTCTTATGCAAAGACGAATAGCAGCTGAAAGTAGCTAGCTGTTTCTTCTACCAATTTGAGTATCTATCATGGTGAAAAAGGATATAAAAGGAGAATTCAAATGTGCATATTTAGTTCCAAGAGAAAGCTAAGAAAGATAATGTAATCTGGATCAAGAAGTTGGCAATACAAATCAATGACCAAAGGAGTAGGCCACACAATTTCTCAATAATTATAAAAGTCCAAGAAAGTAAGTTTACCTATTTTCTTGCAGCAGTTTCATTCGAAGAAGCAGTTCTTCTGTACTAGGTTGTTCAGAAGGAGCTTCTGAAGTATCTGCAGGCTTTGAAGACTCTACAGGCTTTGATAGCGCTTTTCCTGTTTATACAAAGACCAAAAGCACCATATCTTGAAGAGAAGCCAAACACACAATCCAACATGAGGGAGAAGATCATTTCTTAATGCTTTAAATCTAACCAAAACAATGTTTTTATAAGGTAATATTATATAATTGACACCTTTATTCATATTTTTTGTGATAGAGGGTGGCTTTGGTGTAATGGTAAAATTACTCTACTTAGGTCCATGGCTTAGAGCCATGGAAAAAGCCTCTCCACAAAAGAAGAGGGAAGGCTACATACATCAACCCTCCTAGAGCCCATAAATGTGGAATGCTCTGTGCCTAAGTCACCCTTTTTCTTTCGTGATCTAAAGGGTCATTATAATTTACTTGAATGATGCTATTTCTTCAGTTGTTCATTGCATTACATTACTAGGCGAGAAAGTAACTAAAAAAACAATCAAACTACAATTTACAAAAATGATCATATAAAAAACTATACAAAGATTGAAATAAAGAAAATGCAACCTAGACAAAATTGAAAGTAATTCTGGAAACCAAAATGGCGCCAGTTCTCATCAAATGCAAAGAGACTCTCAATCAATCAAAAGGATTAATGCTGCCTAGGGACATGAGACTTACCCACAAATTCTCTGCAAACATGGAGGTCATTGTAATTGTCAAACTCAAATATGTAGCTTACACCCTGGATAACATGAAGTGGAGGAAAGAAAAAGAAAGTTGAGAATATAAACCAAATAAGAACAAAATAAACAAGTAAAAGTAACTTGGAGCATATGAACCTGATTTGAGGTGAGATTCAGCATTGGTGCTTTATTTGATCCCTCCTTCGTGTACTTGTGATCTGCACATCCCATACAGATGAAAACTCCATTTCCAGAAACATAAAAAAAAAAAAAAAAAAAAAAAAAAAAAAAAAATCACAAAATTTGCATGACACAAGCAGAATTTGAAAGTAATCACCAAAAACAGAGGATACATACATAATCCTAAATTCAAAGTAGTTCAAATAGGAAGTCAAAACTACAGCTATAAATCTCCCATTTGCCTAATTATTATTAATTTTCCATTGGAATTCTTGTTCTCTAACAAAAGCAATTCAATCAATTCAATTTTTTCACCATCCACGATTTCATCATTATAGCTTCAAATTGGAGAAAGAAAAAGTAGGGTTGAAAAAAGAAGAATACCAATAATAGACGACCAGGAGTGCCAGGATCCTTTACTGAGGTCTTGTATTTCACTCGCTTTGCCACTTGCCCGCTTGCCATAATCGCACCTTATCGACTTCCGATTCAAAATGTGCGATCAGCTTCTGGTATCGCTATAGATTCTTTTTTCGTTTCTTACTATTATAAGTTTCTGTTGGCCCCCTGCGTCTCATGAAACTCAGTCTGCATCGCTAATTCAATAAAGATAAATCCAGAACTGAAAGATGAAAGCAAGGGACGAACCGAAAGACAGACCACTCAATTCGGTGCTGAAGGGAGAGCGAGAAGAGGTTAGATCGGCTCCGAGGGTCAGAGATTCTAAATGGGCATCACTAAAACTCACCGTTGCACTGTGCAAAACGCAAAACGGACGGTGGCGGGGATGAAAGTAAATAGAAATAATGACAATACCAAGTAAAAATTACACTTGCATCCTTAATTTACATCTTACTTAACATTTTCATCTCTCTATTTTTAAACAATTACTGTAAAATGTTCGTATTTGTTCAAACTCACTATCTGATTTTCTCTCTAAAAAGTCTGCAGCTTTTCATCAGTTAAACAACACTTATTTAATAGAATATTCTCATTTTTGGGACAGAAACTGCTAATTCTTGAACGAAATGCCCAATAGTGAGTTTAAGCGAAAATTAAAGGAATTATAATAATTTCTTAAAAATAGAGTGACAAAATTATTAATTTATTAATTAGAATATAAATTTAACAATCAAGTATATTTTTCTAATGATAATAATAATAATGATAAATAGTCATTTAGCTTATGTTTTTCTCTAAAACATTATTACATCTTTACTATCTCTTTCAAAGTTTTAAACATTTAATCTATTTAATTTCTCTATTAAAAAAAAGTGTCATCTCTACTATTAACTAAGAAAGTAAATAATAATTCAATAGCAAATATAAGAAACTACATAGTCATTCTATATTAAATATGAAAGATGAAATAGTAAATTATTATCACATATATTAAACAGAAAAAATATATTTTTTTTAAATGAAATAATTAAATAGTTTGGAGGTACTAAATATCAATAATGAATAGTTGATTTGATCAAAATAGTATGGACATAGTAATTTCCACCAAAAATTAAATATTAAATAATTAATTATCAATAAGTAATGGACATGCTAAAATTTCCCAAAAGATTAAATATTAAATAATTAATATAATAATAATAATAATAATAATAATAATAATAATAATATAATCTACGATTTACTATCTATAATTTATAATTTTATAATTATTATAATTATAACTATAACCAATTTTTAAGTACATATAATCTTAACGTGTACAGATACAAATTCTTTTTTGACGTGTATTGTACGTTATTGTTGCTTATTTTTCACTCATTATTTTATACTCATTCATTATTTTAATTGTAACGCCCCATTTTTCTGTGTCTGAAATAGTAAGTTATCGGTCTGTGAATAGTGCCATCGGTCCGAGAATAAATATTATTTGTGTCCGGAAAAATTACTATGTATGTTTAATACTATGTATGTTTATACTTTTTCTTTAAATATTTTGTTGCGGTCTATGTGGAGTAATGTGATGATGGCTGCCAGTATCTCATTCATGCTTTTATGGCGGGTAAGAGAAGACGTGAAGGTAGATGTAGCGGGAGTGAGGTGGGTTGTTTGGTTAATTGCGATGAGATAGGATGGTGGGTGTGAGAAGTATGGAATGTAGCTGGATATGAGCCGTGAAGTATTGGGATGCTTGTTATACAGTTTAGCGTAAAGATAGTACTTTTGGAGAGAAGTTTCATGTTGATCTATACGCGCGCAGAGTCGTGACTACACGGTCATGTCACGATTGGTGGTTGATGATCTGGTTAATTAAGGAAAATTTAGAGGAATTAATTTGTTAAGGATTTGAAATTTAAGAAAATTTTTATGGAGATAAAATAATATTCTTGAAGGAAATTTTACATGTTGGGGAATTATTTGTAGGCCATCGTAGGACTATGAAATTACATTGTGCGGCTCAATTGCCTAGCCATGCCAGCAATTTGGTGAAAAGGAACCAATTACCCTTTAAGTCAACTCATTCATTTGAGCAACATGTTGTTCTTCCTCTTCCGTATCCGATCTATACGTGAAACTTCTTTGCTTCAACCTTAACATTCTTAATTGAGCCTCCTCTTTTCTCTTCTCTTTGTTTTCTTGTGTTCACTTATACTCAACTATAATCCACATCCAGTTTGAGCGTACCATTCAACACTGAGTCTAGATATATCAAATTTTGAGATTAAGCTTGAAGAAATTGATATTTGGTGAATCAATCTTCAATAGTATTGGAGGACGAAGAGGGTGGATAACTTCCCTTACCAAGACGAAGGGGAAGAATGCTAAAGTGCATCAAGAGTCTTTTTTAAGCTTGTTTAGAGCTTATGTTTAAAGGTAAGGTGTGTTCAATGAAATCCTGCTTACCTTGTTTTAAAATTTTTTGATTTAATTGTGGAAGTTTAATTATATTTTGTGAAACATTGAAATTTTTATATGAAATAATTTTGATATTGAATTTTGGTGGTATACCATGTGTTAAATTGGGAGATTTCTAAGCAGCTTATATGTTGAATTGACTGAGGAAAACATTTTTCTTCTTCATTCTTCCAAGAGTGGCAGAACCCTATTTGATGAATAAGGCCTTAAAGTTTGTCTTGTTTAGATTGCTTTTGAAGGATTTTTGTAGATCTAAGATGATATTTTGAATGAGTATTGAAGTATGGGTGGTAAATATAAAAGAAAAAAAAAAAAAAAAAAAAATCCCCTCTTCCACCCCATATATCCCTATGTATAATGGATTTAATGTAAGCTTGAAATTAGGACATAAAGGTTATTGGGGTGTGATTAAAGGACTGTTTTTCTCCGATCCTTTTGAATTTGTCTATTGGTGTGCCCTGAGATCCCTTCGATGCATGAAGTTTTTAAAGGTCTACTTCTAGCTTTTCATATTCCAACCCAGTCCCTGCTTGGGTGTCCCAATATTGGATATATAATTAGCGCAACTTTATGGCTAAATAGCACCGGATAAACTAATCTGTATGACGGGGCCCAATGACATTTAACTGAAATTGAGTGCCCATTTTGATGGGACCAGCTATAATGGTAAATAGTTATGTTCTGAGTTCTTCATAACAGTATGTTTGTCCCTGTGTCTTGAAGACCTTCTACTGGGTATTTGGATTGGTTTGTATCTTGAGTGTTTTGGATAAGTAGTGAATTTGATAAATCATTTTGGAAATTAGTTCGGCTGAATCAGGTCCATAGACTGTTGGTCTGTGTTCCTAGCTTTCGTTTGCCATCTTAAAGATTCGATCTGGGCTGTGGGTCCCTTCAAACATTTGTAGTATTTTTGTCTTAGCTTTCTAAGGAATCAAAACATCACTCAATTTGGAGACACAGAAAACTTAAAGTTATGTAATTAAAAACCCAACCAAAGGTCAAGATGTTATATCTTAATGCTGGAAAATTTTTCCTATGGTCTTAAAATCATAGGTTTATTGGATAAAAATTATGTATGATAATCAAATGTTGTGAATGAAGTTCCTCTTGATTATTTTGTGGTGGCGTTTTGCCATTATATTGACAATATAGTTTTGACAAGTGTTGTAAGTGGGATATGTGAGTGATGGATATAAATTGAAAAAGTGTGGAATTGTTTTAGAGTAATGCATGATGAGGGTTTGAAGATTGATTAGGACTTGTGATGCATTGAGTTTGTGTTTTAGCAATGCTTGATTGGAGAAGGAAATTCCTCCCCCTTGGTACACCTTGGTGTAAGTAAAGCTCTTACTTAAATTATTTTTATATATTGAATATAATATGATTATTTGAATAACTTTTATATGTTTTATGAGTTTTAAGCAAAGAAATGGGTATTTAAAGGTGTAAATGTGCTTGAATTTTGAAATAAGGAAAAATCAGTGATTTTTATATAAAGAGAAATTTTTCTTATGATAAATTTCATTATGACTGTAAGAAGTTTTAAAAAGAAAAGGGATTTATGATTCAATTTCCTATATTAAGTAATTAATGTTTTAAGTATATGAGTTACTTAAGTTCTAAAGTAAGATTACATGTGATGATTCATATGGAAATAAGAAATTGTTTTATGTTAAGTAATTATCGTTTAAGTATGATTTCTAAAGTAAGCTTACAATTATGAAATTAGGAAAGACTAACAATAAGACAAGTTTTCCTGATAAGTTGATATGAAAGTAAAGAAATTAAAATAGGGATTTTTGGGCCTCTCATATACTTAGTGTGAATATTTGATGCGTGATTTTTGATTTTTATTCTGTCTGAGTAGCATGCGCTCGGCAATTTGATTGCCATTTCCTGATAAGAAGCTATGATCATAATGCTAGACACGTGGGTGTCTTCTGTTTCTGTTAGGGCGGTACGCGCTCTTATATGTTCTGATCTTGTTGGCGACGCTAAGGCCATTCTGAATCGTTTCTTGAAAACCTATCTGTTTCTTTTTCTTCATAGTGTATGTGAGCCTTGTAAACATTCACATATTTTTCAGGTAGCTTGAAAAATAAATGATTATATGTTATTGATGAATTGTCAAAAGCAAGGATATTACGTTTACATGGTTTTTTCTAAATAACCAGTATACTTGTATTGGTGTACTACGAGATTCAATATAATGGAATTTATGATTTGAGCGAATAAAATTAATTAATAAAGTTTTATTTGATCAATTTGTTATACCAAGTGTAAAAATGTATATTAAGCGTTAAAGTTTTATGTTTGTAAATCTTTGATTGAAAATTTATATTTTAAGTGTGTTGCCATCGCAACATTAGTTTGTTGTGGTTTTAATGAGCACCATGAAGTTTTTTATAACTCAAGCGTGTTTGATTTATCACGCGTAGGTTTGGAGTCTATATTAAACTGATTGAAGACCAAAAGAGTAGCATCAGAGCTGCAGAGATTATTTGGTAGTTGAAATTAAGTGTGTTATGTAATTAAATACTTTATGGCATGTATCGAAGTAGTCCATTTTTTTGGAAGACTCTATTATGGTAATTTATAAGCTGTGACCGAGTATATTCTATAATGTGGTAATTTAATTGGGCGTATTTATTAGAAGATGGATGATGACTCTTTGGAACTTATTTATTGTGGGCAGAAAATGTCAAAGTAAAACTCGGGCGATGAATATGATTAGACTAAATGTAATGCTAATTGGGATGGGACTATACGCAATTTAATGGCTGTTGTAGTTAAGTGAGTATCCTTGAGAGACGTGTTAATTGAGTGTTCTGTTCTATTGAGTTTTGATGGAGGTTTGGAGTTTTTGAAATGTATGGGAGTGTTTTGTAATTCACTTGTATTTGGCAGATGTCACTATGTTTAGGGGGAAACTCTTGCTAGTTTTTCTAATAGGGGATGTGTTCGATCTCCCAGGAATAATGGTTTTTTTTAAAAAATAATACTTGATGGACAGATTGTTAAGTTGGTG